TCATTTCGATATCTCCGCTTCAAGTCCAGGACGTCATATGATATCCTACGGGCGGAAAGTGGTTAATGGGTAAAGTAAAATAACCTAAAAGTGAACCTTTAAATTGTCTATGCAGAAGGAAACGGATTCACTGTAATGCCAGATCCACCAGAAGTCTAGATTTTTTTCAGCTTCATTGCCCTGATTTGGATGTGCACCAAGAGCAGAGAAGAATACCTTAACACATCTGAGTTTGGGGTGCATATAACTCATTCCATCAGTCCCACGTTCTGGTGATTGGCCACTAAGACACCCAATGCTGTCACTTGGGGTTGAGGAGAGTCTTTACCGCTGTGTAAGCTATAAATCAAAGAAGTGGGCCACTTTCTGTGGTTTCTTGATATTGTATTTTATGGCTGGCTGACTTTAAAATCATCGTGACAATGCAGGACCACGTTTGGAAAACCGTTGTTAACCAATTACAGGAATTATAGTGCCTGAACAAAGACTTTCATGGTAGGATCACCTTCTGGTATTTTAACAGACTTTGAAAAGACCTGGGACATGTTAACCCTTCTAAGAGATTTTGGGAATTGGATCAAGAGCAGGAAAGCACCGGAATTCACAGCAACCAGTCTAGTAAGGTTTTGATTGGCTATTAACAGTTTCTCCCAGCTGCACATAGTCATTGCACTGTTATACTAGATGAGTCTAACCGTGTCAAAGTGGTAAGCATGACTTATGGTATGACTTCTTGTGGTTTGGGTAGATGTAGATGTGGATGTAGGCGTCTAAAATATGAAACATATGTAGTACGCAGAAAAGCAGGACGAAGACAGAGGCTTGAAAAGCTGCACAAGCCTTGTGCAATATAACAGTAACCCATGGCAGCCAATCAGAACTTTTAAAATTAATTGGGCTATAGTGACCAGAAACTTCACCGTGATATGCTACTGCAGTTGTAACAGAATTTTTGTTTTTTTGCATTACTTTCATGATTAAACTTGTTCAGATCTTGGCAATGTAAACTGGGCATACAATTACTGAGTGCATAGCCAAGAGGATATCCTTGGTGACTTTCAAATTCACACAGCTAAATGTATATGTAGGTCAGCATTTTATCTTTAAAAGTTTGGTGTAACCCAACCCCCACCTGCTTCCTCAGCCTCCCTGTTGGTCTGTGAGGCTGCCCATCACATCAGAGCGCCATTTGGGGCATGTTTCAGGGCAGAGCGTAGTACATTTCTTCAACTGCTTGTATCTCTAGCTCCTAATTGGTTTATTGCTTTTTGGGTTGATTGGGGTTAGGGCTTTATCTCTGAGGAAGTCACGTGTCTATCGTGACGCAATGCGTCGGTACGTGAGGAGGATTCTGGGAGCGCGGTGATGTCATTTCCGGCGTGGCGGCCATATTTGTAACCCCTATATTAAATACCCATGCAGGGCATCCATAGCATGTGATATAGAAGCCTGTTATTGAAGATCTAAATGTGAGTGGGCATTTTTATTTATATATATATATATATATATATATATATATATATATGGAATAAATACAGTTTTACACTATGAGAGTTGTCTGTCTATATATGAACCGAGGAGGAAGCTGCTGAGAGAGTATATGAGTCTGGGGAGGATCCGGTGATTCATCAGAGTGGTGTTTTATCCTAAGGCAAGCTGACCCTGTGGGGTCTATGTAAGGAGGCGAGGGGCCACTGCAGCCATTGTTTGGATTCACACAGTGTGGACACTTGTTATCACATGCATGAAGATTGAGAGTTTTTTTTTGTCTTGTTTGGACACTATTTTTCATATGGACTTATTTTGAGTAACTTATATTTGCAGTGATTTTGAATTATTGATTGTTATCACTTTGAACACTTTTAATATTCCCGGTGGGAATACACGTGTTGCACTTTACTTTAGTTGCACATTTTGCACAGATTTTTTTAGCACTTATCTATATATTTTTTATTATATATAGGATTTTAGGTTTAGCGTTGTATTGTGTATTATTTATTGCACAGATATATATTTTGCACAGATTTTTAGCACGTGTATATATATATATATATATATTTATTATTATTATATATAGTATTTTAGGTTTAGCGCTGAACTTTAAATGTATATGTAGGTCAGCATTTTATCTTTAAAAGTTTGGTGTAGCCCAACCCCCACCTGCTTCCTCAGCCTCCCTGTTGGTCTGTGAGGCTGCCCATCACATCAGAGCGCCATTTGGGGCATGTTTCAGGGCAGAGCTTAGTCCATTTCTTCAACTGCTTGTATCTCTGGATCCTAATTGATTTATTGCTTTTGGGTTGATTGGGGTTAGGGCTTTATTTCCGGTCTTCATTCCTGTCCAGAATCCTGGTGAGGAAGGTCCCTTCCGCCCCAAGTCCAAGAATGGCCTGACAACTGAGCCCTCAGACCATGTGAATTTGTGTATATTCCTATGTTTGAGTAATAGAAATATTATATTGTATCCCCTCTGGTGGAAAATTCATTTGAATGTATAGAAAACGAACAGGATGTTAACATGGATAGCTCATCCTTCAGCCTCATCTGTGTGAGCCTTGGACAATGGTGCACACCAGCAACAGCAAAAAAAAAAAAATATTTCCCTGTTCTAATTTAAAAAAAAAAAAAAAAAAGGAAAAATCGTTGAGTAAGGTAGCTCTCTAATATGTATGCCCATCTAAATAAACCCTTCACAATCATGATCAATGCACTTGTAGTCTCTTGAAATCTTTGCATGCAGACACCATTCCAGACAGGACAGGTGGCACAGAATAACTAATGAACCCAAAAATAATTGCAATTTTAATTAAGATACCTATATAACAGCACTATTTAACCAAATAAAATGCACAAAAAATTAATAGTGCTCAAGGGACGAAGACGTAAGGACAAAACGCGTCAGGGCATTGGCTTTAGGGCAAACGGAAGTGTCGTCATACACCACACCATAAGTGACTAACTGGAAGTGACAGTGGAGTGGCCTGGGTGAGATACCAATGGTATCGGCCTGTACTGGCCTGTATTCTAACACCCAGCAGCTTTGTCAAAGGGAGATATATTTTGTTGGATGCTTGATGTGGCTGCCAATTTTTGATGCGAGTGAGTAGTATTTTGGCAGAAACTGAAATTTAATAAAGGTGTTAATATCACACTATTGGGACCTCTTTCATTTCCCTGTGTTGAGCGGTTTCATTAAGGGATGAGGAGCAGATGATCCAGCTGGTGATTGACAAGTGGTACACAGTTGAAAGCATAGTTAGCCTATCATAGTTACATAGTTAGTCTGACTGAGAAAAGACAAAAGTCCATCCAGTTCAACCATTTAAAAAAAAAAAAAAAAAAAGTTATCCTACACCCACAGTTGATCCAGAAGAAGGCAAAAAAAACCCAGCAAAGCACGATCTAATTTGCTCCTGTAGGGGAAAAAATTCCTTCCTGATCCGCTGAGAGGCAATCGGATATTCCCTAGATCAACTTTACCTATAAATAGTAACCAGTTGTATTCTGTGTATCCAAGAAAGAATCCAGGCCTTTTTTAAAGTAATCCATTGAGCTGGCCATGAAAATGAGAAACATAATTTGGTAAGTGTGGAGCCTGTGGGGAGTGGTATTCACATTTACATGTGGTGGAATGTGGATGAGAATTCATGCATGAAATGTGTTTGTTTGTTTTTTTGTTTTTTAATTAATTTTCTGGACATTATTAATTTTTACAAATCACATGTGGACACTGGGTGTTGTTGTTTTGTTAAAATATTGATGTTCTAGCGCTACCTTACGTAAAATTGCAACTATTTTTTGGTTTTCATTCTTTATGATTTAGTATTTTTTATGGTGGCAGAAATATCGTAATTGTTTGAATACTGTAATATTGATTTAGGATTGGATAATTTTTGTATTCCTTCACGGCGCAGAGTTAAAATTTGTTGGGTTTTCACACACCTATTTGGTTAATTATAGCAGAGAATAACTAACTGCTAAGATCCTGGGTGCCCACCCAAAGGTAGCTTGTGATTGTCATCATATCTGCCTGAAAATGACCAGAACCAAGACACTATCTTATGTCTGTGGGTTATCGTGATTGCTGGCTTGCATTAGCAATTCTTTAAAGTTTTTGCATAATCTGAACTTTTTTTAAATAGAATAGGGAAGGGTCAAATACCCTAGTCAGTTTATTTTTTACCATCCGTGTCCAGTTGTAGAGATTTCCCTTAATTTTCTGTCCTTGAGATGCAAAAGGAAGGGGGAGGAAATCTCTACAAAATTAGGGGAGTTTCCCCTTCCAGAGTTGTTACCATTGACTGTCCCTTGTCCTATCCAAAATAAAAAAAAAATATATAATTTTTTCTCTTTTAACAAAGCAGTGAAAGAGCTCCATTGATGTGGCTTTTGATAAGCTACCTGATCCAAATAGTCTCTCCACTAGAGATGCTCAAATTGTGTAGAGAAAATGGGTGAATTTATATAGGTTGTAATATTGAATGGCTGCTAGAAATTTTGGTGGATTGTGTTAAGACTTGCATGAAGTTTACTCACCAGGGAATAAAATATTCAACTTGATTTACAAGTCATTAAAGTTATAATTGATGCTTTTATGTTAAAGTGAATCTTTCCATTTCAATAAACATTAGTGGTACCTTCAAAATTTGCACCATAAACTATTAAATGCACTCATTTCGTCAAAACATACAGACTAAACAGCGATACTACTGATATGCAGATGTTGACTTTTTCTACAAGTCACTGCTAAGCCTCCATCTCTAGCCATTTGCCTTCCTCTCTAAGATTAAGGTGGAGGCACTTAACAGAGAAATAGCTGGGTATTGTGGGACAGACTATATTAGAGTTCAGGCTGAATATACTACTTCATATATGATGGCAGCTTCTATAAACAGACACAGGAAAAGGTTGCTTTAAAGAAAAGACTATAGTTTTTATAACTACATTCAAGGAAATTGTTCACAGCAGTGTATGTGCTTACACTGGGTTTTCTTTTTTCAGTGGACATCCGAGAAATAAAGGAGATTCGGGTGGGGAAGAATTCACGTGACTTTGACAGATACTTGGAAGATGCCACGGTGCGCTTGGAAACTGATCACTGCTTTGTTATCCTATACGGAACAGAGTTTAGACTTAAAACCTTAAGTCTGCAAGGTGAGTGGCCTTTATTTCAGTTATAAAGATTTAACTATACTTTGTTATTTTTTAAGAAATCTATAGATATGGGAACTGCTGTTGTAGGCTCAAAGCAAGAGTAACCCGTTTCAGGACCACCTATCTTCTGCACAGATTGACTTTAATGTGTGTGTGTGTCTGTATGTGCGTGTCTGCGTGTGCCTAAATCAGATGTAAGTAAACTGCTAAAAAAACAAAAAACAAAAGGAACACTGATCTCAATCAGGAAAAATCTCCTGCTAGATACCTATACTGGTATGGACTGGGTAATGTGTTAGGAACGTAAGGATGCCCCATCGTTTGATAGAAATGAAAGTGATCAACCTACAGAGAACTGGATTCAAAGACACCCCGAAAATCAAAGTGAAAAAATGATGAAGCAGGCTAGTTCATTTTGCTGAAATTTCATTGCAGCAATTCAAAATGATATTCAGTAGTTTGTATGGCCTACACGTGCTTGTATGCATGCCTGACAACATCGGGGAATGCTCTTAATGAGATGACGAATGGTGTCCTGGGGTACTTCCTCCCAGATTTGGGCCAGGGCATCACTGAGCTCCTGGACAGTCTGAGGTGCAACCTGGCGGCGTCTGATAGACCAAAACATGATCTCCCAGAGGTGTTCTATTGGATTTAGGTCAGGCATGTGTGGGGGTCATTTATTGGTATCAATTCCTTCATCCTCCAGGAACTGCCTGCATTCTCTGGTCACATGAGGCCGGGCATTGTCGTGCACCAGGAGGTGCTACTGTCTAGCCTGTAGAGGTCTGTGCGTCCCCCCATGGATATGCCTCCCCAGACCATCACTGACCCACCAACAAAACGGTCATGCTGAACGATGTTACAGGCAGCATAACGTTCTCCACAGCTTCTTCAGACCCTTTCACATTTGTCACATGTGCTCAGGGTGAACCTGCTCTCATCTGTGAAAAGCACAGGGTGCCAGTGGTGGACCTGCCAATTCTGGTGTTCAATGGCAAATTCTAATCGACCTCTATGGTGCCGTGTGCAGTGAGCACAGGGCCCACTCTCATGAAGTCTGTTTCTGATTGTTTGGTCAGAGACCTTCACACCAGTGGCCTGCTGGAGGTCATTTTGTAGGGCTCTGGCAGTGCTCATCCTGTTCCCCCTTGCACAAAGGAGCAGATACCGGTCCTGCTGATGGGACCTTCTACAGCCCTGTCCAGCTTTCCTAGAGTAACTTCCTGTCTCCTGCAATCTCCTCCATGCTCTTGAGACTGTGCTGGGAGACACAGCAAACCTTCTGGCAATGGCATGTATTGATGTGCCATCCTGGAGGAGTTGGACTGCCTGTGCAACCTCTGTAGGGTCCAGGTATTGCCTCATGCTACCAGTAGTGACACTGACCCTAGCCAAATGCAAAACTAGTGAAAAACAAGTCAGAAAAGATGAATAGCGAAAAAAATTTCAGTAGCCTCCACCTGTAAAACCATTACTGTTTTGGGGATCGTCTCATTGTTGTCCATCTAGTGCACCTGTTGTTAATTTCATTAAGCTGGAACTGATTAACAACCCCCTCTGCTACTTAACTAACCAGATCAATATCCCAGGACTTTAACTGACTTGATGCTATACTCTGAAGTACTCCTTTAATGTCTTTTGAGCAGTGTATATGACCACCTAGCTAATATTAGTAGATCCTTGTTTTGCTGCCAAAACAGCCCTGACCCGTTGAAGCATAGACGCTACTAGATCTCCCAAGATATGCAGTGGTATCTGGCACCTGGCAGTCAGTAGCTGATCATTTAAGTCCTGTGAGTAGCAAGGTGGGTCCTCCATGGATCTTACTTGTTTTTCCAGCACATCCCACAGATGCCCCATTGGATTGAGATCTGGAGAATTTGGAGGCCAAGTCTCAAACTCATTGTGTTCCCCGAACCATTCTTAAATCATTTTTGCAGTGTAGCGGGGTGCGTTATCCTACTCAAAGCAGCCACTGCCATCAGGGAATACCGTTTACATGAAGGGTGTACTGGGTCAGCAACAACGTTTAGGTAGGCTGTGCATGTTAAAGTAACATCCACATAAATGGCAGGTCCCAAGGTTTCCCAGTTGAACATTGCCCAACACTGCTTCTGTCAACTTGCCTCCTTCCCATACTGCATCCTGGTGCTCTCTCACACACACCCGGCCATCCAGACCAGGCTACCTTTAATTGCTCCATGGTCCAGGTTCCTTTGGTGCTGGACAGGTTAGAGGGTTGTGGTTGTGTCACCAAGGGCATCCTAACCCATCTGTGGCTCCATAGCCCCATACACCACAAACTACGGTGTACATTTTTTTCAGCTTTCAACACACCAACTTCAGGGACAACATATTTACTTGCTGCCTAATAAATCCCTCTGACATTCAGATGCCATTGAAACAAGATATTCAATGTTCTTGACTTAGCCTGTCAGTGGTCATAAAGTTGATGTGTATGTATGTGTGTGTGTCTATCTAATATAAATATATATATATAAAAATGTACACTGAGCCTTAGCGATATAATTGCTGTGCCTTTTGTTGGTCTTTAGCCACATCAGAGGAGGAAGTGAACATGTGGATTAGAGGGTTGAATTGGTTACTCCAGGACACACTTCTGGCTCCCACTCCGCTGCAGATCGAGAGGTAAGAAGAAGCTTAATTACATTAAAACATTTTGCCAGGTAACCTATTGTGAAAGGTGTTAGACAATCGCCTGAACAGTCACAGATGGCACAACTATTGAAGTACTTGTACAGTAGATCCAAAAGCTCCACATAAAGTGGAACCTTAGTCAGAAAATTAAGTCCTGCTAGATACTTTTTGTGGTATTAGAACAACTTTGTAATCTGTTTTTCCTTCCCTAAATTTGACCCAGTTCCCTAATTCAATCAGAACTCGCAGATTAAAAGCATTTACTGAAGTTAAGAATTTTTTCAAAATCATGAATAGGTTTTTAAATGCAAATAATGTAAGTAGCTGGCTTCCTGTAATGCTCTGTTCAGCAGCAGATTCGGCTGCTATTATCTATATATATATCTAAATACAAATGTTACACTGAGGCCTAGCGACAGTTGGATAAGGAGGGACAGTTCTTTGAATTAGTCAGGCTGTATGCACCTCTGCTGACAAAGAACATGCTAACAGGAGTAGAGGGAAGAGCAAGCAGCAGCATGGTGTAACTTTTAGCCATCCTAATTCTGCCCCTTCATTATCTATTCAAAGGCTTGGGCAGGGGCTAAGACTAAGGAACTATTACCTATCTGCAGTAGAGAAATGTGAGGTCTCCATTATCTAAAAAAAGAACAAATCCCTTAATTATTATTATTATACAGGATTTATAAAGCGCCAACAGTTTGCTCAGCACTTTACAATATAAGAGGGGGGCGAGTGGTACAAAAGGTAATAACTGTGGGGGATGGACTGGTAGGAGGAATAGAAGATTCCATTATTAGCTGAGGGCAGGATAGGCTTCCCTGAAGAGAGAGGTTTTCAGAGATCGCCTAAAAGTGAGTAGAGTAAGTGATAGTCTGATAGATTGGGGTAGAGAGTTCCAAAGGATGGGGGAAGCTCTGGAGAAGTCCTAGAACGAGCATGGGAGGAGGAGACAAGGGAGCTAGAGAGCAGGAAGTTGTGCGATGGGGCAGAGAGTACGGTTTGGGTTTTGGGTGATATTTGCAGACAAGATTGGTGATGTAATTTGGGACAGTGTTATGAACGGCTTTATATGTTGTTGTTCATGTTTTGAATTTTACTTGTTGGGCAATGGGAAGCCAGTGGAGGGATTGGCAGAGAGGGGTGGCAGATACAGAACAGTTAGTAAGGTGGATGAGTCTGGCAGCAGTATTCATGATAGACTGAAGAGGGGATAGCCTGCGATAAGGTAGACCAATGAGGAGGGAGTTACAATAGTCAAGGCGAGAGATAACCAGGGAGTGAATACGTTGCTTAGTGGTTTCAGAGGTTAAGGAACTGGCGTATCTTGGAGATGTTGCGGAAGTAAAGTCTACAAGATTTAGACAGCTTTTGGATTTGGGGCTGAAAGGACAGATGGGAGTCTAGGATTACACCTAGCACCCTGGCATGAGGAAAGGGACTGATGGTTGTGTTATTGATCTAATGGAGAAGTCAGGGGAGGGGCAAAGGCTGGAGGGGAATAGTAAGAACTCAGTTTTGGAAAGATTGAGTTTGAGGAAGTGGAGTGACATCCATGCCGATATGTCGCTTAGTAGGTTAGTAATGCGAGAGGAGACTGAAGGGGTGAGGTGAGGAGTAGAAAGATAGATTTGTGTGTCATCAGCATAGAGATAGTACTTAAAGCCATAGGAGTTTATCAAGTGACCAAGGGAGGAGGTGTAGATGGAGAAAGAGGGAGTGGAGAGGAGACCGAGTTATTGGTAACGCTGAAGGAGCGCTGCGATGGGTAGGAGGAGAACCAGGAGAGAGCAGAGTCACGGAGGCCAAAAGAGTGGAGTTTTTTTTGAGGAGGAGGGGGGTGATCAACAGTATCAAAAGGCGCAGAGAGGTCAAGTAGTAAGAGTACGGAGTAGTAGTGGCCATTGGTTTTAGCAGTTAGTAGGTCATTAGTGAGTTTTATTAGGGCAGTTTCAATGGAGTGTAGTGCACGAAAGCCAGATTGTAAAGGGTCAAGGAGGTTGTTGTCAGTGAGGTAGGAGCCCAGGCGATTGTAGACTAAGCGTTCTAAGAGTTTCGAGGTAAAGGGTGCAGGGAGATGGGTCTTAAGTTGTTCAGGTTGGTGGGGTTCAGGGAGGGCTTTTTAAGTATGGGAGTGATGTGTACATGCTTTAGAAGGATGGGGAAGGCACCGTTCGAGAGGGAGAGATTGAAGATGTGAGTGAGGGAGCATAGGATGGAAGAAGAGGGTGACTGTAGTAGTTGTGAGGGGACAGGATCCAGGGGGCAGGTAGTGAGACGGGCATCTGAGAAAACCTTAGTGACCTCTTTGGTAGTAGCAAGGTCAAAAGAAGGAAGTGTTGAGGGAGGTTTAGTATAAGGTATGCTAAGTGGGATGGATTTTTGAGCAGTGGAGCTGCCCCTATGAATTGCATCAATCTTGTTTTTGAAATGATTTGCAATCTCGTAAGTAGTGAGTGAGGTACTGGTTGAAGGTGGAGGTGGAGAAAGTAGAGAGTTAAAAGTAGAGAGATGACGAAGACTGGATGACAAGCTATTGATGAGAGTGACAAAGTAGGCTTGTTTGGCATGGAGGGAGGAATTGTATGTTAAGAAAGCAGATTTATATAGGGTGAAAGCTTGCTGAAATTTGGTTTTACGTCACAATCGCTCCAGCGCACAACTATGTCGCTTAAGATTTCTTATGTCGTCAGTCTGCCAAGATTGTCATGGTCGGGGCCTGATGCTTCGTGTATTTAGAAGAGCAAGTGAGTCTAATGTGGATGAAAGTGAGCAGTGGTCAGGTCAGGGCAGGACAGGGGAGAGATTCTGTCATAGAGTTGGACACTTGCAGAGTGGAAAAGAGAAGGGTTTAAGTTGTGAAGGTTTCTGTGGGTAGTTGTTTGCTGCTTGGAGGGATAGGTGTTTGATCACAATCTCATCACCTTCACAGTGTCCTCGTCTGCAGAGAGAGGAAAGGGGGTGTTTGTGAGGTTGTATGGAGTGCAACGATGGGAGAAAACAAGGTCTAATGTATTCCCATCAGAGTGAGTGGAGGACTGTGTCCTTTGAGTTAAGGCAAAATATGAGGTTAGGTTGAAGAGTTGGGATGTAGCCGGGTTGTTCACATTAATGGGGATGTTAAAATCTCCAAGAATGATAGTGGGTATTTCAGAAGAGAGAAAGTAGGGTAACCAGGCAGAAAAGTCATCAAGAATGCGAGACACCGGTCCAGGAGGCTGACAGATCACTGCAATCCTCAGAGAAATGGGAGATAACAGCCGAATGCAGTGAGTCTAGAAAGAAAAGGATAGAGAGGGAGGGTTAGGGAGGACTTGAAAGGTGCTCAGTGGGGATAGAAGCAAACCAACTCTACCTCCTTTCCGACCACTGGGTCTGGGTGAGTGGGTCCAGAGAAGGCCTCCATAGGAAAGTGCTGCTGGAGAAGAATCTGCTGCTTGAAGCCAGGTTTCTGTAATTGATAGTAGGTTAAGGGAGTGGGAGACAAAAAGGTCATGGACAGAGGTGAGCTTATTACAGACAGAGCGGGCATTCCAGAGCGCACATGAAACAAGGAGGGTGGTTTTTAGGAGCACGGGGATTGATATTAAATTGAGCGGATTGTGGCTATTCCCGGAGGAAAGAGAATGCCTGGTGTTGGGGTGAGATAGTGGAGGACCAGGGTTTGGGGAGATATCCCCAGAGGTGAGGAGAAGGAGGGTGAGGAAAGTAAGATGGGAGCGGGATGTATATGAGTGCACATGCCTTCCTGTCCTGGTGTTTGGGTCAGCAGGTGAATAACTTAGCAGGAGGTGATGAGAGAAGTAGTAGGGAGATGGTAGCAGTGAGGGTGAGATGTATAAGCTTTGAGGTGGAGCAGAGGGGTAAAGAGATGAGATTTTGGGAACACAGGATAGTAATATGAAAAGGAGAAGTAGAGGGGACATATTAAAAAGGTAGATGGAGTGGGACTCAGATTTGTAGGAGATGTTTCCCAGGGTGTTTGCTTGCAGTCCATCCATCGTGCAGTAGAGTTCTTTGTTGTATCTTCTTGCTGCTTGTTATCCTGCTTTAGTTAAAGTGCTGTGTTCAACTGCTGCTTCACACTCCATCATCAAACACACTCGCGCAGAAACCTGCACCCCCATCTGTAACCCACACCCAACCATCCCCGCCACAGGACACGTCCTCCCCATGAGCTGGTCTAAATTTACAGGGAGATGGTCAAATGAGCAACTCTTCTCCGCCCCAATTAGCAACTGATAAGGATCACATGAGTTGGGGGGGGGGGGGGGGGGAGTTAATGCTCAAAGACAGGCCAGCCACACAGACACAGGCCAAAGTCATAAAAGAAATGCAAGAGGAGGTGAGAATCAATCACGACAAACAGACCAAAAGCTATACACGAATTGTTCTGAGTGTTGCAGAAATTACAGTTTAAGGTGGAGATGAGATTGCAGATGAGAGCAGCAGGTCTATGCTAACCCTTAATGGGTTAAAACGCTCCCATCCATGTGTTTAGCAGATTGTCTGTCTGGAATTCAGCTTTAATTTATTAAATGTCACATGACATTGTGAACCATGCAAGTGGCGGAATCCATCATGAGCTTGATTTTCCTGAGAAGTCAAGTTCTCCTTTGATGAACTTGCACTGAACTAAAAGCACATGCAGGCTGAAATCCATATACCCAAATTAAGGGAGGATAGACTTGCAGATTGTTTGCTTCAAACAAAACATAACTGCCAATACTGCACAAAATAGATTTGTTGAAGCCTTAAAGATAAATGGTATTAATTAGATAACTGGGACTACCTTTTTATGCCGCTTTGGCTTGTGTCTGGATGGCTGGATCTCTTATGTGCTAGCCCACATTAATTCCCAACAACCAGTCAGGAGGTTAAAAGTTATAGAGGCATAGAGGGGCAAAGTCTCATTAAGGCAAGCCATAGATGAATCCATTTGTTTTTTCCTTCTGCCACAAGTGGAAGGAAAGAAAATCTTTCAGTTTCCCCCATTAACACAGTAAGTGTTGATGGCTTAAAGCCTCCTGTGGAGCTATTGTGTTCGGCTAACGTGGGAATGGCGGTGTGCGGGAATCCTTCCAGGCTTGCAGAACGCAATGATTACTGGTGGTGGCCATAGCCACCGGCAGTAATTGAATGCTTAAAGTCCAACAGGCTGATTGTACCCAAGTCAGTTGATGGATTGACTTGGGTTCAGTCAGCCTGCCCATAGATGGATCGAATCTCAGCTGGGCTCCTGCTGAACCGGCTGAGATTCAATACATCTATAGTCGGTATAAGATTGCAGCAGTAGAGAAGCTTCTTGGGTCCATGTATTCAAAAAAGGAGTTGATTGCAAATTCTGGATGAACTTTTTTTTTTTGTTCTGAATTTCCTGGTTGTGTGACACACGTGATTGTGGCTCAGTGATGCAGCAATTACATGGTTAAAACAGGCAGTGAGACGGTAACTTACCTCGTCTCTCCCACAAGTCTTCACAAATTGCTTTTCAGAGGGGTGGCAAGAGCTGCTGCACACGTGAACAAGTTCTTAAAGTTTAATTTTAGACCTCCAATTTTTTTTTTTATAATTAGTTGAAATTTTTAGGTTTATCTTTTTTTTTTTTGTTGGAAAGATTTTCCCTTTCTTCCTATACATATGATACCTGTTAAAGATATTTACGGGTAACCACCTATGCTGTAATATTCTCCTGGATCTCTCTGCTGTAATATTCTCCTGAAACTCAAAGTTCCTGCACAGTGCTTTTTTTTTCTGCCTCTAGTTGTTTATAGTCTGATGTCCAGCATCATTCAACCCACTTCCTCTGAGCCCAGGTTGTCCTGGACCCACCTTAGCTTGTGACTGGAGAGTGAAAGGAGAAGCAGCACATTGATGAGCTTATCTGCTTTCTCTTCCAATCTGCATGCTCATTGTCAGCACATGAGCTGCGCTGCTTCTTTCTGTTACACTCCAGCCCTTCTGTACAGGGACTGTAAGAAGCTGATACTATGTCACAATTCAGGTACTTGCACTGCTTACATTTAACAGATACATTTACGGATTTAGTAATGATTACAGAGCTACATTAATTTGTCTTTTATAGCTGCCTGAAGTTCAGCTTTTTAATGTATTTTTTGAAATGCAAACCATCAAGTGTCTAAGTACCCAAACCTGATTGGGATCAGCTTTCTTGCAAACCCTAGTTCCTAGTACATTATAATACAGACCGGGAAAGTAATATGCAGCTCCATGAGCTAGTCAGTTGTGCTGCAGTGCTCATGGGCTAACAAGAAACATGCTGAAAGAAGAGAGCCAAGTGACACAACAGACTGTCCAATCACAGATTGGGGAGGAACAGGACCTGTACGTCTTTCACCGTAAGGGTTAATATCAGGGTGGATTTTATTTAAATCAAACTGATTTAAATCACTAGTCAGTAAGGCTTGATTTAAATCCTAGTTTTCTACATAAAGACTAATTCTTGCTGGTATAACTTTAATATGCAAGTAGATGAAGATTTTTAGAATAACAACTTTTCATATTAGTTTTTTTATCCCCAGTTTAATAGGTTAATCATTCATATTTGGACAACTTTTCTGTTGTACTTAGGAAGGAGAAGAATAATCATTACCTTAATAACAATTTAAATAGATTTATTCAACTGAAATAATAACATTCCAGCATATATTATTTGCTTAAACATCCATGTTTGTTAACTAATTTGGCTAAACAAAATATATATATTTTAAGAAACTTGGACTGTCAGCCCCTTCCTCCTCACACTTAGTTTCACTTTCTTCTTGTGCAGATCTATTCCACTCCAAACAATCAGAAAAATATTGTTGCTATTCTATTCACTAAACTTCTTGAAACTTAGCAGTGAAGGGGTTGATTCTGTATTCATAGGTTTGTAGAAGTTAGGATGAAGGTCTTTTTCTTAACTCTGTTCATGTTATAACATTTTTGCTGTGAAGAAGAGGCATGTGATCTCCGCTGAGTCAAATTCAGTTTTGAGAACTGCAAAAGTAAACCAATCATCTGTGATAATATCTTGTAGGCAGAGAAACTGCCCAATAATCTTACAAAAACCTCTGGAAGAGCATGACATTGTGAATGGATTCATGGAATTTATTTACCAAAAAAATTAAACCTATACAGCCTTATTCTACATAATTAAAAAACTAATCTTTATTTCATGATGGAATAACCTTTGGATGGTAATATATTTTCCTCAAAAAGCATTTTATTTAAAAAAAATCAGATTTAAATCAAACAAATCAGATTTAAATCAAACAAATCAGATTTAAATCAAACAAATCAGATTTAAATCAAACAAATCAGATTTAAATCAAACAAATCAGATTTAAATCAAACAAATCAGATTTAAATCAAACAAATCAGATTTAAATCAAACAAATCAGATTTAAATCAAACAAATCAGATTTAAATAAAAAAAATCCGATTTAAATAAAAAAAATCAGATTTTTTTAGATTTTTTTTTAAAAAATCATTGATTTTTATCCACCCTGATTAATAGGACAGATTGTCTTGGGAATGAGAGCGGTGGACTGTCCCTTGGCATCATCCTGTCCAGGGCTATGGATCCTGCTTTAGTCTTGATGACAGTGGGGCCCTAAACAGATGGAGCTTTTTTTTTTTTTTTTTTTTTTTTTCTTTAGTTGCCCAGAGTTGGGCTTTAAGACCTTTTACTTGGAACAGAACAGGCAATGCAGGCCAGGATTTCTGGCCTCTCTCTGATTTCCGATTTTCAAGATCTGAATGCCTATTCCAGATCAGCATCTCAAGATACTGTAGGAGAATGAACATTTTAAGCAATGGAAGCCCCCCATTATATTGTCAGTACATCTCTCCTTTGATAAGATATGCAATTACATGATCTTACTTTGTGAAACGCTTCAGCGGTTCTTGTGGTTTCTGGTTTTGCACTAGTGGTTTCATTAATAAGCTATTGAAGAGTACTAGACTGAAGAGAGCTTTGAGTGCAATCATATGCTTTGAATTTTGCCTTGACTTGAGAACAGGCTGGACCGGTACCATTTCTGTTTTCCAAAACTGCTGAGCTCCCAAGGTCTAGAACCTTAGCTTCCAACTGGACCATATATAGAGGCCCGGTGCCTCTTTTGGAACCCCGTCCCTTTTCTTTTCAAAAATGTTCTTTTTGGTCTGATGTGTAGTCCTCAGTATTAAAAAAAAAAAAAAGAATTTTAAAAAGTACATTTTACCTACCAACTACTACATTGCACTAGACCCTTTATCTAAACTCACAGTGAATCCCACCAGCTTCCCTGACTGATCAGAGCCAAACAAAGACCGGATCGGCTTTGTTCGCCATGTGATATAGTAACCTGGAAGTGATGACCTTACATCGCTTCAGTTTTACGCGGAAATAACCGGCGCCATTTTTTAAAAAAGAGAAGCGTTTAATGACACTGATCTTGGTATGATTAAATGTTTTTAAGGGCAGAGGAGGTATTTGGGATCTTATTGACCCAAGATCTTTCCATAAAGAGCACCTGTCACAGGCCTATTGCTGTCACAAAGGGTATTAACATTCCTTGTGACAGCAATAAAAGTGATAAAAAAATGTTTTTAAAGCAACAGTGTAAAAATAAACAAATCATTTTAAAAAAAATTAAAGTGCACCTGTGCTTGCGCGCAATAGTGAGCGTATGTGTTGGTCCAGCATGCACGCAAACGGCGAGCGTCCCACATGTGAGGTATCTCTGTGAATGTCAGATCGTGGGCAGTAATTCTAGCACCAGACCTCCTTTGTAAATCTAAAGTGGTAACCTGTAGAGGCTTTTAAAGCGTCGCCTATAAATTAGTAAAATTTACATCATTTGTCGCCGTTGCACAGGTGTGTGCGATTGTAAAGCGTGACATGTTTGGTATCTGTTTACTTGGCGTAACATCATTGGGTTATGTATTGTGTTTTTTGGGTTGAAAAACCAATCCCCAAACACAAATAGCAAAAACCACTAATTTATTCTCTAGGATCTCTGCTTTAAAAAAATATTTAATGTTTGGGGGTTCTAAGAAATTTTCTAGCAAAAAAATACTGATTGTTATAGGTACACAAGAGTCAGAAAAAGCCTGGTCTTCAAGTAGATAAGAAAAAAACTAAGACTTTCTGCGCCACATAACTGGGGACGAGGGGAGGGGTGTCCTTTGCATACATACATCATTCTAAAAAGTGTCCCTCTTTCTAATCTCTGAAAATGGGGAGGTATGCTGGAACTGTAATTGTATTCGGCACTCCTGGGAAGTCCAGGGACCTAGAATATTGCTATATATCAAAACCGTTTTTTTTTTTGTAATATAGCAAAGTAAACGCCACTTAGATCAGCCAGTCCAACTCTTATGTGCTACATAAAAATGGCTCAAAGGATAAATTCTGTGCTCTGTACTGTTTTTGACAGTTTTTACATAGTGGAGTTAACCTGATGGATGGTGGTAGTATGGAAATAATAATAATACATTTTTTATCCCTTCTGCTACAGGTGGCTCAGGAAACAATTTTACTCGTTAGACAGAAATCGAGAAGACAAGTAAGTAGCTTAAATTCTTAGAAAAGTGGGTTTTGGTCAACTTGGGGAATTCCTTTCATGTATTAAAAGGAATGTACAGTCTTTACATTGATTTTTTTTTTTTTCTTTTTAGCTATAAATGTAAATGATCAGCTAGGTACAGATAATCTTATCAGTGTACTAATAATTTAAACTGCTTTTCTATATATAGTTTGGAATTCTATATATGCCACATTTATCAATACATATGGTACTTGGGTTGTGCTTTCTGCTATATCATGTTCAAGCTTTATTGCTCCCAGTCTGTTTGGACTGATTGAAAACCATGCGCTGCCTAGGTGGCTGATATCTTATCTCAACAGCTGTCAACCTGTTAAGTAGAATCATTGTAGTGGCTAATTGTGCCTGCCTTCTAATGGCTAATCTACAAATCTTAAGCCTGGTACACACAAGCTGGCCATACATTATACAATTTTCTTCAATTTCCTTCAGACCCATCAGGGTCTGCCTGATTGCTACAAATTGAAAGTGTTTAGGTCTGACCCCATATATGGTTTTGGTAAGTCTAAAGGAAAATTGTATAATGTATGGCCAGTACTCGGCACTCTATTAGAACCTCCGTTAGCATGCTGTTTACATTGCGTTATGTTCTTGGGTATTGTAGCAATACAAGATTTCTCCATCAGTGGGTCTGCCAGGAGGAGGCTGTCCGGACATTTTTATTTTGTAGAAGTGGGTGTCTGTGTAGTTGTCCTAATCACTTCTACTGACAGAGAGGCCACAGAACAATATTAAAGCTAGTTTATAGCTCCTAGCACAGCCATGTGCTTGTTTTCACAATTCCATGACGTTGACCATATGTCATTGCTTATCTAGTCAAAGGCATAGCCATGGTGTGTAGTACATGTCCTTGGCACTTAGAGGTTAAAGGGAATTTCCATCAGCAAGGGCTCCCATCCTGCGTTGCAGGTTGCCACGGTCCAGCTGTTTGTTCTGGGATAGTAATGTTATGATGTGTTGCTGCAGGGTTCCTCGGAGCTAGCAATAATTCTAGTTGACCAGTGTGTTCTCAGCACTGGATTGGAGCCATGCTGGGTACTCTTGCATGTGGCAGCTGCCATGGGTACAGGGTGCATTGGAATGTTGGTAACTCTTAATAAGTATTGCAAAAAGTGACTGAAATTTGGCTGGTCTTCTTCTGGTGAGATGCCCAGCCACCTTTGCTGCCAACACCTTAGCTTTAAACACAGACTCTGATTTGTTATCTTGATCCTTTTTAGACTAATTAATACTGTTTCTTAAAATATCCACAAATGTTTCTGGTGACTTTCCCCCTAAAGAGAATAGTCCCTGTTCTTTGTGTTTTAGGACTCATGTACACTGCAGATGCTAAACTCACGTTTAGGAGCTGTTCAGCGTTTTTTTCAGCAGCCCCTGAACTCTCCCTAATGTTTTCCTATGTGTCCATGTACACATCTTCGTTTACAGTCGTTTACAGTCAGTTGTGTTTACAGTCGTTTTTTTTGAACATATCAAACTTGCGTTGATTTTATCAGCATTTCAAACACAAAATGCTTGTAAACGCGGCAAAATCATTTGCGTTTGAAATTTTTTTTTTTTTTACTCTTTTAGTTCCCAATGCTGTCCAGAGCCTTTTTTCATCATGAAAAATGCATGCAAAGAGTTTTCAACGTGCTCAGATGGACAAAACACTGAACACAGGATGTTTCTACCAAACTTGTCATACATTGAATTGACCAATTCACACCTCAGACCACTCCCACCCTTGGAAACAAAAGATATGTTAATGATCCTTCACACCTCAAATTCCTCATGCAGAGCCAGGTGACCTTAATAACTCACTCCAGCAGACACCTTCCCCACCCTTGGAAACAAAAGAAATGTTAAGGAGCAACTCACACCTAATTATCTCAACACATACTGCTGTCTCTGCTTCTACTCTCTGTATTTTTCTGAAGTCGTTAATAATTTTCCACTTTTCAGTGTATTCTGGGCATTTGGGAGATTCTCCTGTGCCTATCTTTAAAAAACGCTTCTAAACGTAAACACACATAAACTCGTTATGCAAATGTGGCTAAACAGACGTGTAACCTACGTTTTCCAGCAGTCCGTTTCCATCGTTCAGAAATGTCCCGTATACATGGGGCCTTAATTTCTGCTCTTCCAGTGCCACAATGTTCACGCTGGGCAATGTGGGAATGTCGGTGCTTACTGCTGCTTCTGTGCATTCATAACAGCCCATCACCATGATGGACTGCCTCACAGCCAGTAGGCCCCTAATGGTGGACAATAATTTATTTCAAACCTCATACAGCTGTGTTTAGGCTAGTTGGTTACCATCAGTGTAGTATAGCTGGTTACTTGGTTAAATCCATGACTATATTTTTCGATGTTCAAGTTGTTGGATCACTATGGCCATAATGTTCTGTTATCCTCAGTCAATGTATAAGGAAATGATAATTCTTTTGCAGTTTGTCGATTACCCTTGTGGCTCTCTGCTGGCCCCAGACATATTTGGCTCACACATTTGTTGGACTAGGATTTGGTTCATTTCTACGCAAACTAATATTTATTTACGTCAGCCAACATGCCCTTATTGTTACTAACGTTTATAGGCATGCTGGCCTTTAGATCATTATGTTTGTCCTCTGTCTATTGTCCCTCACTTCCTGAGATTAAACCATAAATAGAATTCCAGGGGTCAGGGAGGTGTTTACAACATATTGGAATTCTTGTGTGTATTTTTCAGTGCTTTAAATGGCCAGTCCACTCAACATTTATATTTTAGTTTTTGGAAAGTGCTGGAGAGTTAAAACACCTCTTATGGACTCTCTTGGTGGGTTCTCTTCGCTTGAGATCCCAGGTCTGCACGTGTGTTGTCATTGTAACTGTTTCTCCCTTTCCATGTTCCTTTTTTTTTCAATTCTTTTTCATTCTGTTTTACAAGAGGTGCTGATACAGTAAAAGAGGTGGGTGGGTAGATGGGAAACTCTTAGAGTTCTTTCACAAGGGCAACCCGGAAGCTGTGAAAAAAGGCATTGATGTTTTAAAGACCCCGACTGCTCATCCAAACACATAAATGCAGCTGCTGAGGACTGTTCACATGCAGTGAAAAAATAAATGGCATGTTGCGTTGAGCAACATGTGAACAAAGGCATGCCATAGCCGCGTGCAGTGCATGTGGTTGCGGTGTGGTAGGTAGGCATTTTGAGGGTTAAAACCAACGATGAAGAAGCAGCTTATTGCCTTTTACCGCTTGTGAGATGCCATCGCAGATCATATTTCAAGGACATCAATAGCCATACATGGGAATGAGCCCTTAGGTGTTTGGGTTTATGACTGGGAAATGTTGCCCCTTGAAGTTTCCAGGACATAGTAGAATGTAAAGTTGTTTTATTGAAAACATAAAAAAATTGGCATATATAAATAAAGTGCAGCGCTTATAAAAACACAAAATGGCAAATATTGGATCAAATAAAATGGATAAAAAGTCCTGCAAATCAATAAAAGAGTATAGGTGCTCAAGTGTCTTGATCCTGGTATCCATGTGAATATATGATAAAGCAATGCACACTCACCGGACGCACATAAAGTATGCGCCTTTGTATATAAATAATCCAGATGTCATCCGGTAATGGGTGGTCCTCCCTCTACTGTGTATGAGGCTGTTGGTCCTCTCCAACTGGGGGTCCACCTGATGATTACTGGTGAGTGGTTTGATCAGGGTCCCTTCGGTACATTCAGGAGTAGGTCTGTGAATTAGAATGCTCCCCCAAGGGGTAACAAAGGTACTCCCATAGTGTAGTAGTTGGTAAAAACGAAATTTATTTGAGATACATCAGGTGCACAAAATCGTTGCAGACAGTTATTCGTGCATAACTAACCATCTGGAATGTTAAGATGGCCGCCAGAGCTCCGCGTTGCTCTGGCAGCGTGACTTCACGACGTGGTGTGGCTCCTCCTTACGTGTCCTCCAAGCTTAAGGCTTTGAGCGACTTTGACATGGGCCAAATTGTAATGGCTCGACATTCGGAGGACATGTCACCACGTCGTTGACGTCATCACGGAGACGGCGGTGTCAGCCAGCACACGTTGCACTGCCGTCTGATCAGCTTTCACTATCCATAGCCACTGAGGCTACACATCGGCACGCATCCTAGAGAGCCCTTTAAGGGCAAGAAGCTCTCGCACTGCCATCATGTGTCTTGAATGGACTGATGGCCTTCACGGATGCCCTGAAGTGGGATGAGTGAGCCTAGATGTATGACATCTGCAGGTCTACTAGTATATCTACTGGCTATTTGAACATTTCCCACTGTGAGCCCTTTATGATGTGGAAGAGTAGTTGTACCTCAGTGACGGTTCAACTGTTATTTCGGTGCTGCCCAAACTGAACTGTGCTAAAGAACTTTTACGCTGTATTAGACCCATGTGCATGTCCACACCTGGAAGTAGGACTACCGGGTTAGCACATCCATTTTTGGATAGTGGAGTATTGACTTTATAACATGGGCCAAATGCCCTAGTCTTAACCTCCTTTTAATGTTCATGGACTTTAGTCCCCTTCTTTAAGTGATAACTGGGTAATTTCATAGTGTGTGGATGAGTGAGGTGACGGTGTATTTTGCTGGTTGTGCAGCCCTTCATTTTGACAATACAGTGTTGTCTTTTTTTTAATAATTTTATATGGTGTGTAGGTATTCTAATGCTCTTTTAAGCTTTTGTACTGTATGGATTGAATAAAGCCTGTTTTTTTACTTAATTACCCATTGGTCCACCTTGTAACCTCCTATTGGGCTTTCTTTGGCCCTAGCTGTTTCCAAATTGTAATGGCTAGACACCAAAACTTCAGCTCTTATGGGATGTTTCAGGTCTGCAGTGATCAGGACTTACCAAAAGTGGTACAAAGAAAGAAAACCAGTGACAGGGTCATGGGCGGCCAAGGCTCATTGATGCACGTGGGCAACAAAGGTTGGCCCATGTAGCCCAATCCAATAGAAGAGCTATTGTAGCTCATAATGCTGACAAATTTAATGCTGGTTCTGATAGAAGGTGTCAACACAGAGTGCATCAGTGTATGGAGTTGCTTATCCGCAGACTGGTCCCCGCGCTAATCCGTGTCCACATCCAGAAGTGCCTACAATGGGCATATGAGCATCGGAACTAGACCACAGAGCAATGGAAGAAAGTGGTCTGGCCTGGTTAATCACGTTTTACATCTTGTGGACTGCTGGGTGTATGTATGTCATTTACCTGGGCAAAAATGGCACCAGGATGCAGGAAGAAGACAAGGTGGCAGTGGTAGTGTGATTCTTTGGCAATGTTCTGCTGGGAGACCTTGGGTCCTGCCATTCATGTGTATGCTAATTGGCACGTACAACCTACCTAATACATTGTTGCTGACCAAGTACACCACTTCATGGAAACTGTATTCCCTGATGGCAGTGGCCTCTTTCAGCAGGATAATTCACCCAGCTACACTGCAAAAATGGTTCTAGAATGGTTTGAGGAACACAACGTGTTTGAGGTGCTTACTTGGCCTCCAAATTCTCTAGATCTCAATCCAATGGAGCATCTTTGGGATGTGCTGGGAAAAACAAGTCTGATCCATAGAGGTCCTTCCTTGCAACTTGCAGGACTTACAGGACCTTTACTGATGGCTTGGTGCCAGATACCACAGCATAACATCAGAGGACCAGTGGAGTCCAAACTTCGACCGGTCAGGGTTGTTTTGGTGGTAAAAGGGGGACCTATTCAATATTAGGTGGTTGATGGCTGATTGGTCTATGTGTGTGTATATATTTTATATCTATTATCTCAGAGCTTGCAGAAATAAAAGCACAAAGTATGGGGACCCAAGAAGGGCTAGGATCTTGAGGACTAGTATACCAGCGCTGCTCTAACCAGCTACTGATCATTGCTGTGTTGTACTCTTGTGAACCTCTTGAATTCTTACACTTTGTACTTTTGTTTCTGCAAGCCCTGATGGAGGCAGTGGTGGACCCTGAAACACATTAGATTTTATACACTGTTTGTTTGGAATAATCTGTATTTTAGGCTTAAACATCTCAGTTCAGTTCCAGATTCTTATAAGTCCATCTCAAAGTAAGGTTGGACTGTGATAATTCTTCAGGGTGTAGAGGTCATGTACTTATCAATTGGATGCCCCACTGTAAATATCATTGGCATATTATTGAAAACCATTCCACTTCCATATAGTTCCAATGCCATAAATTCCCATTGGTCTCCATTAATGGAATGCAGTGGCTGACCCAGCCCATCAAGGCTTCCATTTATAAATGACAGATTTTTTTAAAGGACTGCCTTTTTAATATGGGCTACTAAATCATTTAAATGAAAACAGACTTCAATTTGCTTTCTGCTTTCTTATTCTGTAGGATCTCTGTCAAGGATTTGAAGAATATGCTATCGCAGGTCAACTACAGAGTCCCAAATATGAGATTTCTGCGTGATCGACTCATGGTAAGGGGAATTGTCCATCATTTACATTTACTTCACCTCGAAACTAGAAATGTGTTACACTAATCATTTTGGTTTGGTTAGAATTTAATATTTCCTAGCCTGCCCTCCTCATCAGATGCCGATCGTTTTCCCATGCTTAGGTGTGTAAACCAGCCAAAACTTCTCAGATGAACACAAAAACAAATAGGAGCACTTTATAGTTTGGTGGGGAAGGCTTGGACTTCAGCCAAATGTTTATTGGGAATCTCATCTTACTTCCAGACCTAGTGGTACCTTGTCACCAGCATTGGAAGTGAACAGAACTCCAATAGCAGGGACAGACAGAAATAAAAACCTCACAGAGGTTCTTACATATTCTTAACTAAAAAAAAAAAATGTCTGGGATTGCAGTTTAAGGTCAACTGAATTTAACTTTCTGACATTCACAAAGCTGCAGCGTTTGCTGGATAGCAATAGCAGCTCACTGTTTGGATTCCCTTGTTGCCTGGAATGACTGTGTAAAGGTCCTCACCTTGCAAAATGAGTTTTAAAAGAACAGGAGGTCTTTTGCTTTGCCCAGGTGCCATTCAGGGATCACTTTACATTTTGTCACTGAATGCAAAGCATCCTCTGATTGAATGAAGTTGAGATGTTTGGGGAGGGTTCCCTTACGCACTCCACCACAAAACACTTTACATTGATTGAGAAATGAAAAGTGTTCTCTGAATGGGGCTTGTGCCAAGTGGGTGACCTCCTGTCTTCAGTAAGCAGCCCTGCTCGGCACAGGACCTGGAAAGCTAGCAGCAATCACTGTAGTAGCAATAGCAGCTTTTTTTTTTTTTTTTTTTTTTTTGCCAAAGCTTTTGTGCAAACTCCAAAGGGGTTTTCATGTGTTTTGCATTGAGTAGAGGCTGCAGTCTAGACACTCTGCCATAAAGCCCAGGTCCGTGGAGGGCTACAGTGATGGTTGTTCTTCTGGAACTTTGTCCCATCTCAACACGGGATCTCTGGAGCTCAGTCAGAGTGACCATCGGGTTCTTGGTCACCTCTCTTACCAAGATCATTTTCCCCCCGATTATCAAGAGCTGGTCACCCAGCCAAACTGAGCAGAGTCCTGGCTGTGCCAAACTTCTTTCATTTGAGAATTCTAGACATGCAGGTAGGTTAATTGGCTCCTGTCTACATTGGCCCTAATATGTATATGTATGAATGTAAGTTAGGGACCTTAGATTGTACACCCCTTGAGGGTTAGGGACTGATGTGAATGTACAATATATATATATAAAGTGCTGTGTACGTTGATGGCGCTATATAAGTACCTGAAATAAATAAATAAATAGAGGTCACTGAGAACCTTCAGTGCAGCAGAAATGTTTTTTGTAGCCTTCTCCAGATCTGTGCCTTGCAATAATCCTGTCTCTGAGCTCTGCAGGCAGTTCCGTTTGACCTCATGGCTTTTGCTCTGATACAGTATGCATTGTTAGCTGTAAGGCCTTTTATAGAGAGGTGTGCGCCTTTCCAAATCGTGTCCAATCAATCTAATTTACCATACCCATGCCGATGTGTGATATTTCAGTTTTTCCTTTTTTCACAAATTTGCTAATTTTTCTAAAATTCGTTCGCTTTGTCATTATGGGGTGACCTAAGGTAAGATTAATGAGAGCAAAAAAAGTAATTTAAACAACTGTAGTATCAGGCTGCAACATAGGAAAATTGAAGTGAATGGAGTCTGAATACTTTGAATGCACTGTATATCATCAGATAATTCTTTTTTTTTTTTTTCATGCAAGTTTAACCCCTTGACGCCAACGTCACACAAATATGTGGCCTCACAGAACTGGGCTTTTTTTTCCGTGGGGCCGCATATTTGTGTACCATTTTTGTGCTGGGAGCCCTCTGCACTGCGCGCTCCCAGCACAAAGACCAGGGTGTCACTGAGAGCCCCAGGTCCTGTTCTAACAATCGGGACCCGGGTCTCCCGATTCCAGGTCACGTGATCGCTGTGATAGCCTCTGATAGGCTATCACAGTGATCAGTCACTGTGCAGCCCGGCCCCCTTGTTTTTTTTTCTCTCTCTAGGAATGGAGGAGAGAGATACATTGTGTCATTACATACATCCTATTATACATTGTATCTCTCTAACTCCTGGCATAGAGAGAAAAAAAATTTTGTAAAAAAAAAAAGATAAATATTAAAAAATAAAATACAAAATAAAGAAAAAATACCTAGATCAGGGGCGGACTGACAACTCATGGGGCCCCCGGGCAATAGGGAATCATGGGGCCCCTGTGTCCTTGCCCAAACTCAAAAAAGTCTATGAAAAAGGTACTAGGGGCATCTCATGGGGCCCCCTACTGACCCCGGGCCCTCGGGCAGTGCCCAAGTTTTCCAAATGGTCAGTCCGCCCCTGACCTAGATCAAAGTTTGATCTAGTTCAGTGCCAGGGTTATTGTTTGGGTCAAGGTCAAAGGTCAGGATTTAAAAAAAAATTGGTGTCAGTTAGTTTCAATGTCAGTGTGTTTTAGATATAAAAAAAAAAAAAACCGCAAAAACAAAATGCGCACTATTTCTGGGCTGTACTACGGGTACAAACAACAAATAACATACACATCTATGATATTGCTGCGATCGTCAAGAGCCGGAGAATTTATTTTGGTTTGTTCTTTGGTGGTGGGTTATGGTAGTAACAAGAAACACAGAAAAAATGATTTTTTTTTTACTACTTTGGGCCAGTTTTCCTTTAATAATAAAAAAAAATCAGGAGCTATCCATTACCATTTACCACCAAATGAAAGCCCAAGTTTTCCTGAAAAAAACGCGGTATAATTCACCCGGATGTACAAAGTAGTTGTGGTGATATGGACGGTTTTACTAACACATTTCAACGGTGCAATATTGTGCTTAGGCATTTAGATTTGTTTTACCCTTAGGCATGAAGGGGTTAAATATGCTTTATCTGTATTTTACATGAAGGGTTTCTTAGATGTGTTCTGTAACTAGGTTACATTTATTGATGTTTTAGCCTTATGAAGCCCCCTCCCCTATGAGCTTCCTGTTTGTATGAATACAAAGTTCACATGAAGATACAGAAAGGCTTTTTACAACTCCAGATCCATTCAGACAGGTGGCAAACTCTCCCTACTTGTATGTGGTGTGCACAGTACTATGCACTTGATGTCTACAAACCGTAGCCTGAAAAGAAACAAAATCTCTTAAGTGATCAATGTAAAAGTGTATCCAATGTCACTAAATCCCGCCAGATGCAAAAGTAAAATTCAAAATTGTGTATAAATCATAAAAAATCCCTTGCTGCCACTATGTGATTATCAAAATAAATAAATATAATTCACAACGAACTATTGAAAAAAGTGGCGCATGCACTCCACAAAAAATTATATAATTATTAATCTCCTATCCCCACTATAATAATGAACTGTGAGGATAGGAGATTAATATTTATTTAATTTTTTAAAATTTAGTTTAGGCACTGTGGAGTGCATGCGCCACTTTTTTCACTAGTTCGTTGTGAATTATATTTATTGAAAAGAAACTAAAACTGGAATTTTGGAAATGGCGAATAACTGAATCACAGGGAGCTATAGCTATTATTATGTTTTGTGACACGGGGTACTAGAGGTACTGCATGAATATTAAGATGAAAAAGAAGAGAGCTCATGGTGGTCAGGCTGACTTTAAATTTGGGATGTTGAAATCTTCAAAGGCTAATGTCTGCCAAAAATGTATTTTTTATACCATATGTAATGGGGAAGACCCCGGTTTCTATCAGGTTTTATTTTCCCCCAATGAGTTAACACAGAAATATTCTTTCCTTTCCTGTCTTTTTGATAACCATAGAAGAATCAATTTCGAATTTCAGTTTTTACATTTTAAATCGATTGGACTAAGCTGCTGCAAGCAAACCATTTCCATTACGGGCAGCACAGTAGCCTGGCAGTACTAGGGTCGTCGGTTCGAATCCCAACCACGGCATCACCTGCCTGGAGTTTGCATGTTCTCCCTGTGCCTGCGTGGGTTTCCTCCGGGTACTCCGGTTTCCTCCCATGCTCCAAAGAGATGCTGGTAGGTGAATTGGCCCCTGTCTAAATTGGCCCTAGTATGTGTATGTTTGAATGTGAGTTAGGGACCTTAGATTGTATACCCCTTGAGGGTTAGGGACTGATGTGAATGTACAATATATATGTAAAGCGCTGCGTAAATTGATGGCGCTATATAAGTACCTGAAATAAATAAATAATACAATAAAATAAATAAATCAACAATAATAATAATAAAGTGAAATAATCATCCCATAAATAATCAATAATAAAGTGCAAAACCAATACTAAATCATCCACAAAAGTCCACTTCACAATCCTTATGCTCAAAAAGCAGCATAAATGTGTTTAAAATAGGTATGTAAAGCACTGCGTAAATTGACTGCGCTATATAAGTACCTGAAATAAATCAATAAATTACAAAATGATGCAGCCCCTGTGCGCGCTGTAATATACTGCTTGAAGTAAAACCTGGAAAGTGCAAAAGCTTTGGCGAAATAAACTGGAAGCTGATTGGTTTCTATGCAGAGCTGCACCAGACTTTGCACTCTCTTTAGTAAATCAACCTCATTGTCTTTTTGTACCATTAGAGATTTTGACAGACTGCAGTAACAAAAAAGGTGGGTGAGGACTGCTCTGTGTGAATAGAAAGTTGTGTAGGCTCCAGCTGGTTGAAGAACAGTGATCATTTTATTATTGTATGTTATGCGCTGAGTTTTCTATCTCATGCACTAATGAAGTGGTTGTGTTTTATATCATAGACTGATGAAGTGGTTATGTGTTATGTCATGCACTAATATAAAGTGATCATTGTTCTGCAGCTCACTGGAGCTTCTAAAGCTCTCTGTTCACATACGGTGCTCCTCACCTATCTCCACAATCTTTACATGCTTGAAGGGACACACTCCAGGGACCTTCCACAAGTTGAGCTTCCACAGACCAACCACCAGCAAGGTCTAGTGCTATGTTACCCATACACTACAAAGCAATAAAAACCTGGCAGAGGCTCCAACCCCTCTCTACTCTCTTGAAAAGTAAAAATACTGCACCCATGACGATTATTGGTCTTTTGGCCTCTCTCTGATTTGGTCTGATCGCCTATACACGAGTATGGGGGAGGACTTGTGGCTGTTATCTTAATTACATGTGTGTGTCTTTACGCTTGAGCTACTGAGCCGTGTAAACAGAAGGCTTATTTTAGCAAAACAGATAGGAATACATAGGAGGAAGAAGCCCAGAGCTCCACCTGCTTACTAGATAAGAAAATGCAAAAGATTCAAATGCGAGGTTTTATCTTTTTCTGACTATAATAGAGGAACATATTTGAATATGTCTATAGTGGTTTTACTTGCACTTTATTATAGTCAGGACTAAAAAAAAAATAAATTGCCTTTAAAGAGGATCTTCAGTTGTTTTAAAAAATTCAGTCAGCAGCTAAAATATTGTAGCTGCTGTCTTTTGATAAAGACACTTACCTTGTTCAGTACTGTCATCACCCGGGCTGGTTCTTTGCCAGTCTTCGGGTCCCTGGTGCCACCATGTTGACTATGGGAAGCCAGCTACAACTCCCTGTGGTTTCACAGTCGGCTCCCAGCTGCACTCTCAATGGTCTTGCAGTCTCCTGAGCAGGGGCGGACTGACAACTCATGGGGCCCCCGGGAAATAGGGGATCATGGGGCCCACGTGTACTTGCCTACACCCAAAAAAGCCTATAAAAAGGTACCAGGGGCATTTCATGGGGCCCCCTTCTGACCCTGGGCCCTCGGGCAGTGCCCTAGTGCTCGAATGGTCAGTTCGCCCCTGCTTCTGAGACATGTGACTGTCCCAGGAGAATGTAAGATTTGGGGGGTGCTGGGTTTGTAGCTTCTGCTGGGATTGCCTAGATCGGGTGTTGGCAACCCGCGGCTCCGGAGCCGCATGCGGCTCTTTTTCACCTTTCCTGCGGCTCCGGAGCACACTGCCCACCAGGTGACAGGCAATAGGGTCGGCAAGCCGCGGCTCTTTTAATGCAGATCTTCTGTGTGGCAAACATTGGCTGTCAGGATGTAGGCGGGGCAGCCCGGATGTAGGCGGGGCAGCGTGACGAACTCCTCTCCTCTCACAGTCCGCCCTGAAGACCAGAACGGCGCGGGAACCCAGCGAGAGGAACGCGCGGAGCAAAGGTAAGTGAATTCACACAATATGGGGAATGAATTACTATAGGGGGGATGAATTACTATAGGGGGGATGAATTACTATGGGGGATGAATTACTACGGGGGATGAATTACTATAGGGGGATGAATTACTATAGGGGGGATGAATTACTATAGGGGGGATGAATTACTACGGGGGATGAATTACTATAGGGGGGATGAATTACTATGGGGGATGAATTACTATATGGGGGATGAATTACTATGGGGGATGAATTACTATGGGGGATGAATTACTATATGGGGGATGGATGAATTACTATAGGGGGGATGAATTACTATAGGGGGGATGAATTACTATATGGGGGATGAATTACTATATGGGGGGATGAATTACTATATGGGGGGATGAATTACTATAGGGGGGATGAATTACTATGGGGGATGAATTACTATAGGGGGGATGAATTACTATAGGGGGGATGAATTACTATAGGGGGGATGAATTACTATGGGGGATGAATTACTATAGGGGGGATGAATTACTATAGGGGGGATGAATTACTATATGAGGGATGAATTACTATATGGGGGATGAATTACTATGGGGGATGAATTACTATGGGGGATGAATTACTATATGGGGGATGAATTACTATATGGGGGATGTATTTTCAGTTTTAAAAATGTTTCTCTCAAAATAAATTTCAATTGTGGTTTTGGCGAGATTTGGCTCAGTCGAAAAAAAAGGTTGCCCACCACTGACCTAAGGCTTGTGATTATGACGATACACTGTGGCCCTGATTAACCCTTTGTTTACTGGGCCCTTAAACCCCCTTCATGACCAGAGCGTTTTTTGCAATATATGCAGTGTCGGATTTGTTTTAAATGTTGCAATGGTTTTGCGGCTCCCAGTCTTTTTTTCCCTCTTGGAAACGGGTCCAAGTGGCTCTTTATGTCTTAAAGGTTGCAGACCCCTGGTCTAGATGATCCCAGTGAAAGTGGGAGGAGATACATAAGTACCTACCAGAAATGGGTACCCACCCGCTCCCTAACCAAAAAAAAAAAAGTGCCGAAAGTGGAAAAATAAATAAAAGTGGAGGAAGAAGACTGGGAGAGTAGGAGAATCAGCGAAACTTCCCTTTTAGGTGAAGTTCTGCTTTCAGCTGCCTAAGGGATCACCACAATTTACCACCAATGGTGTCTGGCAGAACTGCGGCCGGTTGCTTTATTTTTTTTTGCCAATTTTTATGATTGAGAGCCGGTAAGTGGAAAGTGATTGAACTTGCCTTATTTATCGACCGTTGGGGTATCTCTATCTGTCTGCAGTCACAGCTGGAAATTATGATTGATTTTTTTTTTTTTTTATCTTTGACCTTGTGGATTATGGACTAATTTCTTCTCTCCCTGTCTCACCTTCCCCTTTCTATAGGAAGTGGAGCAGAGAAACCAAGAGATAAACTATGCTCAGTTTGCCCAGCTATACCGCTCCCTTATGTACAATGCACAGAAGACCGTGAGTATTATAGGTTCATTTGGAGCCAGCTTCTCTAATTTCTGATTTTATTCTAAGTCCGTAATGCCATTTGCAATAACTGAGCCAGCCTGTCTCCAGCCATAGCTCAGTATGGCTGGCTGTGAAATGGTAGGAGACAGCGGTTTTAAATGATTGCTGATTACTGGCTGCAGTAAATGTTTGCTCTGGGATTTTTATTTTTTTTTAATTTGTTAATGAGCTCTTCATTGGCTGCGTTAAATAAAACTGTAACAAAATAATCAACCATTAGAGAAGAGAGGAGGAACAACCAGACTAATGGCAACCATGACTGGCAGTAATTGATTTTTTTTTATTGTAATTTGCGGGAGGCCAAGTGTCATGTAAAGGAAAACTATGACTTTAAACACCTTAGATTGTACGATCCTTGAGGGTTAGGGACTGATGTGAATGTACAATATATATGTAAAAGCGCTGCGTGAATTGACGGCACTATATAAGTACCTGAAATAAATAAATAAATAAATGCATGTTTAGTGTCCTTTTAACCACCTTATATACAACGGCCGGACGGTGGCAGTGCAGGGTCGGGTGGCCGTTTATAACTGGCTTTCCCGGCCCCCTGCTTGTGCGCGCTCTCTGGGAGCACGCAGCACCGCGATCCGGTGTACACTGTGTCCTCCGGACACAGTGAAACACTGATCGTCGGACGGGACCTCCATGCGAGGTCCCGATCATGTGATCACTGATTAGCCAATCAGTGATCACATGCAGAGTAGTAAGCAAGATGTCACTTGTGACATCATTGCTTACTACGTGTGAAATCTGTGAATGATCACAGAACTCACATGGTACAAGGCTATTCACAACAGCCTTGTACCATGTGACAAGCTGTGACTAATCACAGCTCACTCGGTAGTTCTCAATGGCTGCAGGAATGAAGCTAGAGAGAAGGAGAAATGATTGCTTTTACATCCTTTATGGGTGTAAAAGCAATGTGTAAAAAAAAAAATAAAATCTTCATCACCCCCCACAACTAGTACAGTGTCACCATGGTGACACTGTACTGCTAGGGTGACAGTATGTAAAAAAATAAATATAAAAACAAATTAAAATGTTAAAAAAATTATAATTTTTGGTTATAAACTAATTTGGGTTATTTTTTTTTTCTTACTAAAAATATAACGGAATAAATTTTGGCTAAGGTTTATGATGAAATACTATTTGCAAAATTGTATAAGAAAAACACTTTTTTTCAAAATTTGTGGACTTTTTAGATTACATAGCAAAAAAAAAAAAAAAAAAAATCCCAGTGGTGAATAAATAGCACCAAAATAAAGTTTTATCTGTCTCAAAAAAATGCTAAAAAAATTCATATTGGTACAGTGTTGCATGACCACGCAATTGTCATTCAAAGTGTGATAGCGCTGAAAATTGCCCTGGACAGGAAGGGGGTAAAAGTGTCCGGATAGGAAGTGGTTAAAGTCATAAGCTCTTGAGTTGTCATACTGGTCCTGACTTTGCTACCTAGTTGGAACAAGTATAAAGGGTAGGAGAGCCCTACAGCCTCCGAAATATCATGATGACTTATGTGGAGGAGCTGCCATAGCACATTTTCATCATATTTAATATTTTGCTTGGTACAGGGAAGCAATAAGTCACATTCTAATGTAATTGAAGATTGTATTATGTACTGTTTTAGAATAATGAAATTGTCCATTTGGCACAGCAGTCAGTCCTTACTGTGACTTTGTTTTGCCTTTGCAGATGCCAATCCCTTTCCTGGAGAGGTAAGTAGTTTGTGTCATTGGTCGTGTAAAATTGGTGGCTACACCTTTTCAAATGTATCACATAGGGATGCACTGAAATTCCTGTGGTCGAAACGTTTCGGCCAAAAACACCCCTTTCGGCTGTCGGACGAAATTAAAAAAAGCACCGATACAGGTGCTGAAAAAAAACCCCGCCCGTCCGCCATTGCCCGCCACTTCGTAGTTCAGTCTTACCTGAGAAAACATCAATCCCAGCGCTGGGCATAGAGATGGGTGAAGGAAAGATGGCTGCCACACATCTCTATGCCTTTGGAAGACCGCAGCGATTTCACTTCCGGATTCTGGACATTTTTTTTTTTTTTTTGTTTAAAGCACTAGATCAATGCTTTTTTGATCCAATGCTTACATTGCAGAGGAGGGATGTGGGGATTGACCCCACATCTCTCCATAAAGAGGACCTGTCACTAATTATTTATATCACAAGGGATGCATGCATTTCTTGTAATAAGAATAAAAGTGATTACAATTAAAAAAAAAAAAAAAAACAAACACATTTTTTAAAAAAAGTTTAAAGTGCCCTCGTCCCCCCGTGTGCACGTAGTGGAGAACACATACGTAAGCCATGCCCACATATGTAAATGGTGTTCAAACAACAGACATGGGGTATCGCCACGAATGTCGGAGCAAGAGCAATAATTCTTGCACTTGACCTCCTCTGTAACTTTACACTGCTAACCTGTAGACATTTTTAAAGCATCACCCATGGAGATTTTGAAGTACCGCAGTTTGATGCCATTCCAGGAGCGTGCGCAATTTTAAAGTGTGACATGTTGGGTATCTATTTACTCTCCGTAACATCCTCTTACATATTTTACAAAAATTGGGGTATATATTGTTTTTTTTATTCAAAGTGTATTTTTTTCTAAAAAATATATATTCATTTTTAAAAACTGCGCATTTCAGTTTTGGTTTTCGGTCAAGTGCATTTTGAAGTTTCGGTTTCAGCACCAGAATTTTAATTTCACTGCACCACTAGTAATGCAGTTTGTCCCCCTTTACTAGTTTTGTTTGTTTTGTTTTTTTCTTACTGATTAAGCCTTTCAATGTATAAGATAACTAGCCTGTTGACATTTTTTCTTTTTATCTCTAACCTATACCATATTGTTAGGCAGATTAAAAGATATTTGTTAATCGTATTAGCTACCACTCTTGATCATTTTTGAAGTATCGGTATTGTCCAATAGGATATCATTATTTCAGCCAGTAGCATTACAGTATAATGTTTAGAGATGCCTTTTCCTGCTACAAGTGAAAATGTTAGGTTCTAGAACATTTTTCAGTGGGCACGTTGGCAAAAGAAAAAATGGGAAAAAACGTTCTGACCCACATGGGCCTGGTGCAGTGTTTACATGTCCTGGTGTTATCAGAAGGGGGTAAGCAGCATATGTTGAGGGAAGATGAAGTGGGCCAGATTAACATCGACCTCGCTTACCCATCTTCCTCTGGTGTGTACTTATAGGGCTTGTTTTTGGATTCAGGAAACCCTTAGGCGCGGTTTACATCGGCAGTCGCAAAACTCTCACACAGAGAACTGCGGGACCTGTAGGCTTGTGACATCCGAATAGCTCACCACCCGCACTGGTAACCTCGGTTCCCATGTGGGCTGCCATTTCAAAAATGGTGCAGGGACTTCTTTCCTGCGTGTCCAGGGACACGGCAGCGCCTCTCGTGCCCCCGCAAATCGCAGCCCACTCGGTCGCACAGTTGTGAACCTAACCTTAAAGTGTTACTAAACCCACAACAGTAAAATCAGTCTGTGTATGCAGTAAAGCATGCTCGCTATTACTCCCCTTGGAACCTATGGGGTTATTTCTCCGCATTGTGTAAAAAGGCTGTTTGATCCTGTCTTTTTTTATTTCTCCTTTCACTGTCTCACTGTTTGGTGTGTATTGCTAGAGAGCTTTTTTTTTTTTTTGGGGGGGGGGGGGGGGGCGCATGTGATCTGCACTAAGCCAATCAGTGCTGTCTGGAAAGAGGGTCAGGGGTCATGCTGCCTCATAGGACAGTTAGAGGAGAATGCAAACTCCTCCTGTAAGCTTTAATCAGTGCTCAGCCGGACACTGATAGAAGTCACAAGACTGCTATATACTGCTGATGAGAAAAGGTATTTAGCAGTTTTTTTTTACTAAAATAATTGCATTCAATGTTCTGTGTACTGTGGAGGACCAGATATAGTGAATGCAGGGTCCTGGGTTTAGTAACACTTTAAGTACTTCAGAGTTGTGGTCTGTGCAGGTTGTTCAGATTACTGTACTGTGTTGCTGTGCAGCAAAAATAAAAGAAATATACTATTATCTCTGGAGTAACACATGGGGCTGCAGGGCTTTGAAGAATTAATGGTTACCCATTTGCTGGAACACATGTGTTATGGTGCTTGATTACATAGTAGTGGAAGATGGCCTGTGGTGTTTTTTTTTTTGTTTTTTTTATTTCTTAAGGTAATACACAATTTTGTAAAAACGCAGAGAAAATGTGATCAATACGTATTTAGGTCTCCTTCATACATGCACACTATAGCATATGCCTGTACAAGTGCCGTGTTTTCAGTTGGGAAGCAGTGGCTGCCCAGACACAGCCGCTGCCCCTAAGTAGACAGCCATGTGAGTACCCGGACCCATACAGCTGTCACATTGGGAGCAGCGGCTGTGTCCGTGCAACTGCTGCTTCCCAATTGAAACAAATGGGACTGCTGGCACGTGCATCTCCATGCAGACAAACGCGGCCCTCGCATGGGTGTACGCTGTAGTACACACGTGTGAATGAGGCCTTAAAGTGCTTTGTGCGAAAGGCCAGTCCTTTGTTAAGTTGGATTTGTAAACGCTGCACTGGCCACATCCAGGTCCGCAAATATGTGGATATAAACTTGTTATGTTAGTAACCGCTTTGTATGACACTATGACCCAATGAAGTTTCGAGATGGTTGAGTGAAAATACTTGGTTGATTCTCTTTGTTGCAGAGGTGGAGAGCCTCTAGGGATGTGCAGAGTGTTACTGTTGGACTTCCAGACCTTTCTGCTGGAGTATCAGAAGGTAATGGTCTTCATAGTATGCTTTGTTTTCCTGTTGATAGCAGTGACTGAGGATGGGGTTTCATGATGAGGATCTCTGGAAGAAATAGGAGAAGTTTTATTATTGGGACTGTAAGAGAGCAAACTTATGACTGTGGAGACCAGGGAAGACGAGAGCTACTTATGGCAAGCCTGTTGCTATACTAAAAACTTCAACCCAGCCATACATGTAAAAGAACAGATCTAAGATTGGGGTCACACCACAGATTAATAGATAGGGTGCAATTCTATTCCAGTGTAAGAGCCGCTAATCGGAGTGGAATCCAACACGTTTTTGGCAGGCCAAAAACACCCCCTTCATCAGGGTTTGAAATGGGAAACTGCATCTGGACAGAAACCAAGATTGATTTGAACTAGCATAAGTCTTTGTTACTAGATGGTTGCTGCCAATCCAGCTGCTGACGAGACCGGTGTCTGTTCTTACACTGGTAGAGATACCATCAACAAGTCGTTCTCAGTTTTAAGTCGATACACTGCTTCCTTCCTGTTAGGGTTTACATCTACTTTGGGTGTAAGGAGAAGAAATCTATAAATGGAAGTGTTTTTTTTTTTTTTTATACATATAACTGGAGCAGTAGATTGAACCTTTGTGATAGTGCTGAAAAGAGGAAAGGGATTATCAAGGGTGGTTCTCCTCACATTAACACAGTGGGGCCCACAGTGTCCTTCAGAGCCCTTGTTTCATTGGGCCAAAACAGGTTACTGTTTCATATGTCACCTCCACCTGCTAATGAAATCTGGTTTTGAAGCTATTTTTCAGAGGCATAGAAGTACTTTGAGTACTTCTGACCTGGGGAGTTAGATTTTCAGTCCACTGGGCTGCCAATTACCAGGACTGGCTCCAAAGGTCAAAGGCTTCCCAAGAATTTTGGGAAAGTCTCTGGTGGTGTGGCTGCTTATGGTGCCTGTTACTGGGGTACAGATTATAAAACTTGTACAACATGCTGGGTAATAATAAGGACTGCTCATAGCTTTATGCATTCTCTCCTGGCATTCATGTGTTTCCCAGGATACCCCTTCTGCTATTTTCATTTATTCCTCCGTAACTTCTTTACTTCTTTTTCCTTCATAAATATAGTGAGGTTGATTTACTAAAACTGGAGAATGCAAAATCTGGTGTAGCTGTGTATGGTAGCCAATCGGCTTCTAACTTCAGCTTGTTCAATTAGGCTTGGACAAAAAAGAAACCTTGGAAGCTGATTGGTTTCTAGGCAGAGCTGCACCAGATTTTGCACTCTCCAGTATTGGCAAATCAACCCCATTGCCTCTTCTAATCCCTTTCACTAATCATTGCAGGAAATGTGGGCATCTGATCTTCTCCAAGTGCAAGAGTTCATGTTTCACTTTTTGCGTGACCCTTTGAGGGAGATAGAGGAACCCTACTTCACCCCAGAGGAGGTAGGTCATAGGCCACAAAACCAGAATTGTCTTTTTTTCTTTTTTTTTTTTTTTATTCTTCATAGCAGGGCATCAGGTTTTATTTTATATAAAGATATATGTGTGAGCACCTTCCAGTGGCTTACAAGTAATTGCACACTATTACTAGGTTTTAAATGCTTTCTGTGTGTCTATGAACATATTTTTTTTTATCTAAGTTTACTTTTCTTGGTCTATCTGCTGTTGTGTCTCTGCAGTTTGTTACATTCCTGTTCTCCAAGGAGAACACTGTGTGGGATTCTTCACTGGACACCGTGTGTCCCCAAAATATGGACAATGCCCTCTCCCATTATTGGATCTCCTCTTCTCATAACACGTAAGAAATTTCAGCTGCTCAGGATCCTGATTTCCTGTATGCCAGTTACTGTTCTTGTATTCTCTGCCCTCTACTTGGGATTTGTTTACACTTCAGCAAATAAAGAGGAACTACAATGAAAAAGCCAAAGCCACCAATTTTTTAGACAACCTCCCTTCCCATGAAGAAAATGAGAATTATGCTTGCCTTACACCCCTGTTTCTGCCCGCTGCTCCTAGCGAGGGTGACATTGCTGGGCCTTCTATTGGAAATCTGTTGAGAAGACAAATCTGCACAGCCCTAGAGTCTTATTGTGAGATTTGGGCTCTTTCCCTTTTCCAGTATCCCAGAGTGAGGCCCAGTGATGTCACCAGCACCTACAGGAAGTGATCAGAACCTAAAGTGTAAGTTAAGCATATTTTTCATATTTATTTTTTTTTTCCCTTTTTAGTTTTTTTTTTTTATTACTTTTATTTTTTACTTTACTCCATTTTTTCAGAAGGGGGGCATGGGTTTAAACATAAGAGACATGCAATTCAAGACATGTATATTTGAAGAGACTGTTGCCAAACCTTTTATTTCAACAGCAATCTTCCCTTAAGGTTACATGCGCATTTATCAAATTTTGGCATCATATTTTCTTGTAAAATCCTTCCCTTGTGTAGAAATCCAAAAGCCATGAGACTGCTGCTGAGTGTCCTCATGTTGCATGTGATTTTAGCAGACTTGGAGCTTTCACTCAATTGACACCATAGTATTCTGCCTTGGCTCCTCTCCCATTAGTTGCAATAAAGATTATGAAAGGAAGAATGGAGGAGCTGGGCCAGTACAGACAGTAATTAGACAGTCCTAGTAGAGGAGAAGGCTATGACATGCAAGCAGGTAGGGGCTGTGCTAGGGATTTTACTCTTCCTCTAGTAGGCAAAAACGTCTAGCAAAGTATAGAAGCACATTACATGAGAATAAAATTTGTTTATGGAAAGAAAAAATACTGCAAGCAAACATTTAAAGGGTAACTCCATTTTCATGAGATAAATATAACATAAAATGGAGACACAAGTTCTATTGTAACTAAATGTTATTAAAAATGACCTTTCCTTTTCAATCTTCAGTGCTGTAATTTTCTATAAAATGCAATATGGCAACCTGGAGGCGTTTTGTACACCATCTGTTATTTCCAGCTTGTTTGATTGGCTTACTGATTTTTCCAGCAGTCTGCTCTAAGATACAAGTCAGATTTTGGCAATCCCCTACAACAAAAAGTTAATTTTTGGTGATATACCCCTAAAGGAAATCACATCTAAAGGGATGCAGACCCTGCAATTTTCCTCATTAGCACCCTGCAAGTGCAGCTGATTGATCATTATAAAGTTGCTCCCATTCACATTCATTTTGCACATAGACACTAACAGCTATTTTTTCATAATAACAAAAGGCCTGAGTCTTCAACATAATTTGTTAAAATCCCTGCAATGTACACAGATCGCCCACAAAGGATTTTTTTTTTTTTTGTTTTTTTTTTTCTCAACAAAAGTTAAGTTACTCTTTAAAAGTTTTGATTAGCCTGTGTTAACCTGCAGTTTGTAAGTTGGTGACAGGGTCTCTTTATTCTGCATCTGTATGTTTATTTTTGGTGCATCTTGCAGTGTGTTTTTTAACATAGGTGTGTGGGATTTTGCCTGTACAGTATTCGCATTCATTGTCTGGGGTGGGTATTTCCTGTGGTGTTTTTTTTTTTGTTTTTTTTTTTGTTTAAAATGAATGTAAAACACCCACTACACATGTTTCACATACAGTGGAGCTCATCCTGTTAGAGATCAGCTTGCAAGAATCATAGGCTAATTTGTATTAAATAAAAAGGGTTATTTTAAAAATGTCACATATATTGATGAGATCCCTTGCTTTTTATTTCTGTGAAAAATTTATTTACAGGTTTTTTTTTTTTTTTTTTTGGGTTACTCTGCTTATAGGTACCTAACGGGAGATCAGTTCTCCAGTGAATCCTCCCTTGAAGCATACGCCCGCTGTTTGCGGATGGGCTGCCGCTGCATAGAGTGTGAGTGGAGGGCGCCATCTTCTGGATGTTTTTTTTTTGTAAATGTGTTTGCCTTATGTATTCTTGCAATTCATTTTTCTTTCAGGCTATATTAATATTAGAATGTATAACCCCAGTTTAACCTCCTCGGCGTTCTGATTATTTCCGATTTTTTGTGCTGAAAGCGGTACCATTTTTTTGCATGGAAATATGTAGTTTTTTATTGTAGGCTGTAATTTTTAGGAATAACTCACTGAAATCTGTCCGAACAAGAGTCTAGTAAACATTCCGGGTAGGATAAAATTTGAAACACGAAATCATAAATTATGATTTAATAAATAATCATAAAAAATAATAATATAATAATAAATTTAATTCAATAATATAATCAAACCAAAAACAATGAAATTTGAAATACAGAGGCAAATTCCCACATCGCTGAGCAAAGTCGCAAAATCGGTTTCAGTGTCTGATGATGAATTTCCCCACGAATCATTATCACTCAATTCTGCAAGTGGTTCTGATTTACTATCGCTGTTCTCTAGCCGGTCTAAAACCGCTTTTGACTTAAAGTGACGCTTTTGGACGCCGTGGACTTTTATAAGTTTCCAGGCAGAAAGAACAGTCAAAATGCAGGCAGGGCGCAGGACAAAGCAGTAGGGACAAAATGTATGTGAAATGCATTGAACCAGCAATGTTTTACTATGTAATAATAATAATTTTTAAAAAAATGACATTTTTTAAAAATTTGCCGCTGGTTCTGGCGCCCGTACGTCCCGACATCACAGGGACCGGAACATGGAAGCCGGATGCCGGCATCGGCCGGAGGACATGGCCGGGGATCCTGCAGGGGACACATCGTGGGAGTGAAGGACAAGGTAAGTGCTGCAGGGACCCCCTGAGCAACGCCGCATGGTAAGCCCGAGTGTAGCTCGGGGTTACCGCTCTTGGTACTCGAATTTTACCCCGAGCTACACTCGGGAATACCGCTAAGGAGGTTAAACCACCTAAATTCCAACTCCATCAATTTTGTAAGAGTATAGAAAGCAGGAAACCTGTGAGGTTTTTATTGCGGCCTGTGCTCCTGGTTGGTGAGATTTGCCTTCACTTTTTGTTTTGTCACTAGGATAGGAAGTGAGTAGCATCTTTCCATCAATAAAATAACTTTTTTTACAGGTCATGCATGCGGATGTAAATACAGGCGTTTGGGCGTACATCATTAAATACATCTGTATGTGCAGTGCCTGGAAGCCCCAGCTGGTGCGTTATTCTTCCCATAAGACAGGGGTGTCAAACTGGCGGCCCTCCAGCTCTACCTTTGGGAGTCATGCTTGTAACTGTCAATCTTGCAATGCCTCATGGGACTTGTAGTTTTGCGACAGCTGGAGGGCTGCCAGTGTGACACCTGTGCTATAAGACATTACGGGTCAGGCTTGGAGGTGAACGCAATAGAGTCTTGGAGGTGGAAGAGCACAAAGGGGTGACCCAGGAGCTCCGTACACGTTTATGCAGTAGTGCGTTTACACTGGTCCACTTGAAGTACAGCGGATTTAAAGGGACGGTTCACCACTTTTGAGACTATATCCAGATGACACTTGTTTTTGGTGTATTTGGATCACGATCTATAGGACACAGGTCCACGTGATGGTATTTAGGATTTAAAGGGACAGATCACAATTAAGGATTATTTATTTTGTATTTGTGTGCACTATTTATTTATAGCACTGGTTATGTGCAGTTTCTGTAGGTACTTATATGTTTGCATTGGAAGATATCTTGAATAGCATATATTGATGCTCACGAGCACAGCAATTTGTTTGTCACTTTTTATACACGCACGTATTAGATTGTTAGCACCATATTTATTTATATATTATTGCGCTGCATTTCTTCATTTCATTTACTTATGTACAAGTGGGAACACATTATATGCTAGCTGCAAAAAAGAAAAAAAAATTTCTAGATTTATTGCGCTAAAGGTTTTCTATACATGCTGTAATAACTTTTTGCTGTATGAAGGTATGTCTGTAAATATTGGTATTTGCATTTACAGGCAACCATGTTCAGGAGCTTGCACTGATACACGGCGCCTGTAGTCACAAGTACCAGCATTTACAGGCGTATACACAAGTGCAGAGTATTCTGTCAGTACAGATCTGTGGGTAGAATTGTACACCAGCTGGGGGCTCCCAGGTGCTGCGAACACAGACATATCTTATACTTTATGCCCATGCGTGTGTATTTACATCCGTACGCATGAGCCCTTTGTTGAGGAAAGAGGACTTAAAACAGCAGTGGGGATTGACATTCTGTTTATTTACTGAATTATTTAATGTCTTCATTCATTTCAGTTCATAAAAAATAAAATGTATATTAAAAAAAAAAAAAAGTGCAGATTTATTCTGCCTGTGTCCCATCAAGGAAATTTCCCCCTCTCATTTTAAATAATCGCCAGTTTATCAAGTTTTTTTCTGCTCTCCTGAGTCTCTTCACTGGGAAGATTTCCAGAGTATCCTAATCCGTCCCCCAAAACAGGTGGGGGCCCTCCATCTTTTTTTAATTATTTTTTTTTTATAAGACAAATCATGGTCCGCAAAAGTCATGCGGTGTCCTCCTTCAAGAGGAAATTAGGAGAAAAGTGCATTTTATGGCAGATCCACAAGTATTTTTCTGTATTTGCTGGTCTTTAAAGGGATAAAACCATGCAAAATACCTTGGAATACATTTTAAATAGCAATTGTGTGGCCATTCTAGAACAGGCAAAGTGGGGAAATTACAACAAATGCCAAAGAGATTCAATAAAAAATAGAAACAATGTCTTGTACTGATGGAGGAAATAGAATATGTAGGAGAGGCGTGCTGGAGGGCATTACAGTGGGGGAGAGGAGGATGCAAAGGATACTGAATACAGATTCATTTTATTACCTGCTGAGGTTTGCTTATATTTTAAACACTGACAATGTCAGTCATCCAAGTTATATAATAAATAATATTAAATGAGCGCTGGATAAAATAGATGAAGCTGCTAACATAAAACCTTCTTCTAGAATCATAACATGTACAGTCAGGTCCATAAATATTGGGACATCGACACAAATCTAACATTTTTGGCTCTATGCACCACCACAATGGATTTGAAATGAAACGAACAAGATGTGCTTTAACTGCAGACTGTCAGCTTTAATTTGAGGGTATTTACATCCAAATCAGGTGAACGGTGTAGGAATTACAACAGTTTGCATATGTGCCTCCCACTTTTTAAGGGACCAAAAGTAATGGGACAGAATAATAATCATAAATCAAACTCACTTTTTAATACTTGGTTGCAAATCCTTTGCAGTCAATTACAGCCTGAAGTCTGGAATGCATAGACATCACCAGACGCTGGGTTTCATCCCTGGTGATGCTCTGCCAGGCCTCTACTGCAACTGTCTTCAGTTCCTGCTTGTTCTTGGGGCATTTTCCCTTCAGTTTTGTCTTCAGCAAGTGAAATGCATGCTCAATCGGATTCAGGTCAGGTGATTGACTTGGCCATTGCATAACATTCCACTTCTTTCCCTTAAAAAACTCTTTGGTTGCTTTTCAGTATGCTTTGGGTCATTGTCCATCTGCACTGTGAAGCGGCATCCAATGAGTTCTGAAGCATTTGGCTGAATATGAGCAGATAATATTGCCCGAAACACTTCAGAATTCATCCTGCTGCTTTTGTCAGCAGTCGCATCATCAATAAATACAAGAGAACCAGTTCCATTGGCAGCCATACATGCCCATGCCATGACACTACCACCACCATGCTTTACTGATGAGGTGGTATGCTTAGGATCATGAGCAGTTCCTTTCCTTCTCCATACTCTTCTCTTCCCATCACTCTGGTACAAGTTGATCTCGGTCTCATCTGTCCATAGGATGTTGTTCCAGAACTGTGAAGGCTTTTTTAGATGTTGTTTGGCAAACTCTAATCTGGCCTTTCTGTTTTTGAGGCTCACCAATGGTTTACATTTTGTGGTGAACCCTCTGTATTCACTCTGGTGAAGTCTTCTCTTGATTGTTGACTTTGACACACATACACCTACGTCCTGGAGAGTGTTCTTGATCTGGCCAACTGTTGTGAAGGGTGTTTTCTTCACCAGGGAAAGAATTCTTTGGTCATCCACCACAGTTGTTTTCCGTGGTCTTCCGGGTCTTTTGGTGTTGCTGAGCTCACCGGTGCGTTCCTTCTTTTTAAGAATGTTCCAAACAGTTGTTTTGGCCACGCCTAATGTTTTTGCTATGTCTCTGATAGGTTTGTTTTGTTTTTTCAGCCTAATGATGGCTTGCTTCACTGATAGTGACAGCTCTTTGGATCTCATCTTGAGAGTTGACAGCAACAGATTCCAAATGCAAATAGCACACTTTAAATTAAATCTGGACCTTTTACCTGCTCATTGTAATTGGGATAATGAGGGAATAACACACACCTGGCCATGGAACAGCTGAGAAGCCAATTGTCCCATTACTTTTGGCCCCTTAACAAGTGGGAGGCACATATGCAAACTGTTGTAAAACCTACACCGTTCACCTGATTTGGATGTAAATACCCTCAAATTAAAGCTGACAGTCTGCAGTTAAAGCACATCTTGTTCGTTTCATTTCAAATCCATTGTGGTGGTATATAGAGCCAAAAATGTTAGAATTGTGTCGATGTCCCAATATTTATGGACCTGACTGTATATAGGCAGCGCTGAAGGAAATGATGATCAATAAAAAATATATACAAGACCGCAAATTTCTATTACCATAAGCAATAGCCATTTTGGTTTCTGTGAGCACCAGATTGTGAGTGAATATACCCTGTTTTACTATCTTTATGCTATAATAAAGTACTACACTATTGGAGATCTTTTTCTCTGGCTTGTTTATCACGAGCCCCTCCTCTAAGGTGAATCCTGGGTACCCTGCATTTACCTTCATGAATGGTTCCCCCTGCTGTTTGGAGAGTGTATCTCTGGAGCCTGGATATCCCTATGGTGTGTTACCTACTTTGCTGAGGCTTGCCAGATGACCCCTAGTGTTCCAGTTTCCAGATGCAGATGACCAGGAGTTGGTCTTGATTTACTCAAATGTGCATTAGTTTGCGCATGGGGGAGGTGCATTATAGCACGCCTACCATATCTATACACTTCATGGGTACTTTAATTACAGTTGCATATAGGTAGAGTTTTTCACTTACACACTTCCCCAGCCAGAGGAGAGGTGTTTTATTGCATTCACACGGACACTTTATTGTGGTTTCCACGAAGGAGGGGGATTGGCTACGCAGCATTTAAGTAAACTTATTTTCCTACCTTCTGGATTTGTTTATTTCATATCTTTATGAACCAGGCTAATAGGACTCTATTGCACATGGGTCTTTTTGTGAGAAATAGGTTTGTATTTTGTTGCATTCTTACCTAGTTGATGGATTGTTACAAGATCATTTGATAACGTTCATTTGTTCTATTTCTAGTGGATTGCTGGGATGGACCAGATGGGATGCCAGTCATCTACCATGGGCATACTCTGACCACCAAAATAAAGTTCAATGAGGTTCTCTACACCATCAAAGAACATGCTTTCATCACATCGGAGTACGTACTATATTTATAGTGGTGATCCTAATTGATTGAATATAAGATGCTTAAACATTTAACCTGGCCATACATTAATAGTTCTTTTTTCATTTACTAATTTCATAAATAAACCGTGCTGCTTTTTTCATGGACCAGAAAGCGAACAGATTCCTCCATCCATGCTATACAACTTAGATGAACAGATCTCCCATGTGTGCGATTTTTATTTTGATAGCTCACCCCTCTGGCCTTAAAAATACCCCAAACAGCAGCTGCATCTGCTGCCTGTTTGGTATTTTCTAGTGGGCTCTATAAACAAAAGTCGGTTGAATGATCGACTTTTGTTGAAAAGAGTGAGGTCGGCAGAGCCACACACTGCAAAATTTGCAAATTCAGGAACTGGGCAAAATTCGCACAGTGTATGGCCATCTTTGCCCCAGCTATAGAAGGATCAGCATTTATAGCCTTTTAAAGCTAAAGCCCACAGGCACCACAGTGTGTGCAGGGTGGATTTGATTTAAATCACGATTTAAATCACTAGTCAGTAAGGCTTGATTTAAATCCTAGTTTTCTACATAAAGACTAATTCTTGCTGGTATAACTTTAATATGCAAGTAGATGAAGCTTTTTAGAATAACAACTTTCCATATTAGTTTTTTTATCCCCAGTTTAATAGGTTAATCATTCATATTTGGACAACTTTTCTGTTGTACTTAGGAAGGAGAAAAATAATCATTACCTTAATAATAACAATTTAAATAGATTTATTCAACTGAAACAATAACATTCCAGCATATGTGATTTGCTTAAAAACATCCATGTTTGTTAACTAATTTTGGCTAAACAAAATCTATATATTTAAGAAACTTAGACTGTCAGCCCCTTCCTCCTCACACTTAGTTTCACTTTCTTCTTGTGCAGATCTATTCCACTCCAAACAATCAGAAAAATATTGTTTCTATTCTGTTCACTGAACTTCTTGAAACTTAGCAGTGAAGGGGTTGATTCTGTATTCATAGGTTTGTAGAAGTTAGGATGAAGGTCTTTTTCTTAACTCTGTTCATGTTATAACATTTTGCTGTGAAGAAGAGGCATGTGATCTCCGCTGAGTCAAATTCAGTTTTGAGAACTGCAAAAGTAAACCGATCATCTGTGATAATATCTTGTAGGCAGAGAAACTGCCCAATAATCTTACAAAAACCTCTGGAAGAGCATGACATTGTGAATGGATTCATGGAATTTATTTACCAAAAAAAATTACTGTATTTGCCGGCGTATAAGACGACCCCCTACTTTTCCTGCTAAAATGTAGTGTTTGGGCTATACTCGCCGTATAAGACTACCCCTCTTCCAATGCACACCAGTGGGAGGAATAGTGCCCCATCATTGATGTCAGTGGGAGGAATAGTGCCCCATCATTGGTATTAGTGGCAGGAATAGTGCCCTATCATTAGTATCAGTGGAGGAATAGTGCTCCATCATTGGTGTCAGTGGGAGGAACAGTGCCCCATCATTGGTGTCAGTGGGAGGAACAGTGCCCCATCATTGGTATCAGTGGCAGGAATAGTGCCCCATCATTGGTATCAGTGGCAGGAATGGTGCCCCATCATTGGTATCAGTGGCAGGAATGGTGCCCCATCATTGGTATCAGTGGCAGGAATAGTGCCCCATCATTGGTGTCAGTGGGAGGAATAGTGCCCCATCATTGATATCAGTGGGAGGAATGGTGTCCCATCATTGGTGTCAGTGAGGGGTGGAATAGTGCCCCATCATTGGTGTCAGTGGGGGGTGGAATAGTGCCCCATCGTTGGTGTCAGTGGGGGGGGGAATAGTGCCCCATCATTGGTGTCAGTGCGGGGGAGGAATAGTGCCCCATCGTTGGTGTCAGTGGGAGGAATAGTGCCCCATCATTGGTATCAGTGACACCAATGATGGGGCACTATTCCTCCCACTGAGACTTGCTGACCCTGTTCTCGTATGGTGCTGCTGCAGCCAGCATATGTGGTTGCAGCAGCACCTCTACACAGAACACTTACCTGCTGCTCCGGCACTCAATTTTCGCGGGGCCGCTCGGCTCCGCCCCCTCGCCGGTGATTGGCCGCCTGTGTGCCTTTCCTGAGCTACAGTTCTGGCGGCCAATCACCGGTGAGGAGGCGGAGCCGAGCAGCCGCACGAACATCCAGTGGCCGAACTGAAGGAGATGCCGCGCTTCCTGGACCGGATCGTCGTGGGACTGGATCCAGGTAAGAGACATCAACCCCTGCAAACCTCTGTACTTAATGCCGCAGCCCCCCTAAACATGTGTACCGGCGTATAAGACGACCCCCGACTTTTGAGAAGATTTTCAAGGGTCAAAAAGTCGTCTTATACGCCGGGCAAATACGGTAAATATATACAGCCTTATTCTACATAATTAAAAAAACAAATCTTTATTTCATGATGGAATGACCTTTGGATGGTAATATATTTTCCTCAAAAAGCATTTTATTTAAAAAAAATCTGAAAATAAAATTTACTTACAATTCATAGCAAAGACCAATCCCCTGAAGCCAAACCAAACCTTGACGCCTCTCTGCTCTTTCTGTCCAATTAAAACCTCTTATTGGCCAGTGAGCAGTTTACATTGGGCAGGGGACCTGTAGTTGGTAAAGCTTAAGGTGGGAATACACGATTAGAAAATCAACCGATCGGTCAGCTGACAACCGAGAGGCGTTCGTTTGTTGGTCGAAATCGTGGCCCACATTAACCAATCTAAAAAAATTGTTCGGGCAATACGTAGTGTTGACGTCTTCCGTACATGTGGAAGTGATGCAGTGTGCGTTTGACCTTGTAGCCACGCCCTTCCGGCCAGAACGAGCGATATACACAATGATTACCAGCAATGAGTATAATATCGTTTATTACATTATCTACAGTATATACATAAATAGTGATACATAAAAATATAATATGCAGAATTCTAGTGTCATTATCTCATTAGGCCAATCTACTTTTAACATTTGGTTTTTTCGTTCGTGTTTACGAAGATTCCTTGGACATAAACATCTGGGTCATCTTCTGTTTCCGCTCATGTGTGATAGCGCTTGATAGAATTTTTTTTCATACGACCGTCATACCGCCGCATAGAAAATCGGTCGTTCGTATGCGAAACGACAACATTTTTCACTGTTGTTCAACCGGATTTTTTTGTTCACAACGAAGAGAAAATCATTCTATCAATGGTTCCGCAAAATTTTTTGTACAATTTTCTTATCGTGTGTACGGGGCATAAGTCTAGAGGTCAGAAGTGAAGATACTCATAACTAAATGAAATCAAAATCAGAAGAGCTTTTCTGGTTTTATTAAGGAGTCACTGGTTAGCAATATATATGGTTTCTGATGGTCCAAATAGGCAAAAGTTTAACTACAAGAACATTTAAAAGCCAACTGGAGTTTTGCTATAATTTTTCTAATGACACTTTTTACTCTACAGACTTGTCCTTTAGCTTTACCTTTTCTGTTGCATTATCTTTTTCCTCCATTATTAGATACCCAGTTATTTTGTCAATTGAAGATCATTGCAGTATTGCCCAGCAGAGGAACATGGCCCAGTACTTCAAGAAAGTATTTGGGGATATGCTTCTAATCAAACCAGTGGATGTCAGTGCTGATGTTTTACCCTCCCCAAACCAGCTTAAAAGAAAAATTCTCATCAAGGTAAGAGCCCAGCTGTTCTATACCCTGTCTGAGAACCCACACTGCAGGTGGTGTAGCTGACCCTGGGCCCCGAGTTGGTTGGGTTTTCACTGTACTGGAATTATATTAATTATTCCTGTTCTTGCCTATAGCACAAGAAGCTAGCAGAAGGCAGTACCTATGAAGAGATCCCCACCTCCACGGTGTATTCAGAAAATGACATCAGCAACTCCATTAAGAATGGAATCTTGTACCTGCAGGATCCAATTAATCATGTAAGTTGTGCAGTACAGGATTGAGACACTATACACCATCATTGGAACTTTGTGTACCATTCACTTACCCTATATTCACAGTTACATGGAAGTGAATGCAGTGCCCAAACTAAAAGCACAGGAAAATCAAGTATTTTTCAATGCTTCTTGCTGCACTGTTTTTCCTGACCCATAAATACATTTTATTGACTTGCAATGTGCCTTTCAACTGGTGAGAACATTTGAGTACTAAGGGAAGAGTCATATTCTCAGGACATCCCCTCTTTCCTTGCACACTATAGCCCTTACCTCTATGCCTAGTTACTGTCTGTGCTGGCCCAGCTTTTCTGCCCCTTCCTTCACCTCCTGACAAAATCTTGCATGTAACTGCTTGTGGAGGAGCAAAGGGGTAATACTATAGAAGGTCACTTGAGTGACAGCTTTGAGTCTGCTGGGGCTCCTGACATCACGTCCAAGATGGCAGCACCCAGCAGCAGTCTCAAGTCTGTTAAAGGTCTATACAAGGGAGGCTTTAAAGGGAAAGTTCATCTTTTGGTAAAAAAATAATAAATGTACTTTTTTTTTTTTTTTTGCAGGTAAAAAGAATAATAAAAAATCATGTGCATTTATTATTTTTTGCTACTGTATACTGTAAAGCTTTGCACCAGCGATCAGTAGATCGCTGGTGCCATGCAGGTCTTCTGCAGATCTGTCAGTATATCTGCTTGCCCATACAGGATGTACGAGCAAACAGCTTTACTGACTGTTAGATTCAGTTAACTACCGCGACGCTCCACAGCGCTGTGGTATTTTTCTGAGAACTACAAACCGACAGCCTCTAAGGCTCTTGGGACTTGTAGTTTCTCATTCACAGAGCAGTGACGCGGCCAGGGGGGAGAGAAGATTCCTTGCTAGTTGTCAAAGCAGGAGATTGGCGGCGGTGGCTGGTTCTTTGATTACATGTTGCACCCTGAATATGGGCATAACATGAAAGGTGAACTTCTCCTTTAACAGGTAAATAATATTCATAGAATATGTTAAATGTACATATAGACTTTGTTGAGTTGAATGGTTTGGTGCAGGGCAGCTGGAACAAACAATGAGCAGGAATTATAAAGAACACAAGGAAGAGAACATCTGACTTCCTTTCTTTTCTATTTCAGTGTTTAGCTCCATATCTTCACTTACCTTAGGTTGTAACGAATCCTCAGGTGAATCTTTTCAGATTACAAATATTTATTCTGTGTACAAAAGCTGTCCCCTATTGAATACTTGTGTAGAGATAACCAAGTATGTAAAGCCGGCACAAAGTGATGCCTAACTGGATGGGAACAATGGAAGGGCAGTGAGAAGTACAAGTATGGGTAAGCTGAAATGAGTAACTGATTATTTTCTTTTTGCAGGAGTGGTATCCTCACTTCTTTGTACTTACCAGCAGCAAGATCTACTACTCTGAGGAGACCACAGGAGGACAAGCCAATGATGACGAGGAGGAGCAGAAGGAGGTATACTATGCTAACAAGTGTCAATTCAAATAACTGTATTTATGTTCATTATAGAACTACAATGTCTTAAGTCCAGAGTTGAACTATCCACAAGGCAATCAAGAAAATGGAGCTAAAGGCCAAGTGGATGTCCAGGGGGCCCAGCTACAACCTTCATGCTCCTGTAGTAAACCATGGATGATGAGTATATTGGTCAGAGCTGCACTCCTGCCTGTTCAGAAAGGAGCATGCACTTGTAAGAATCTGGTGTCTGTTGGGGCCATACAGGTATAGATAATACTTTTGGGGCAGCTTCTCTGTGTTTATTGGAACCTGCCCCCCTCTTGTGATTTACCATGAACTGTGCTGGCAGTCAGCATGCTTAGTAGTGAGGTGATCATGGACACATTGTTTTTGAGAGAGTCTGTTTGCAGTCCCTTTTTTTAGTAAAATATAAAGCTATATTCTCTTTTTTTTTTTTTTTTTTTTTTTTTTTTTTTTTTTTTTAATTTCAGACCAGCAACAGTTCTGAATTACACTCTACTGAGAAATGGTTCCATGGAAAGCTCGGAGCAGGCCGGGATGGAAGACATATTGCTGAACGCCTCCTAACAGATTACTGCATTGAAACTGGAGCTCCAGATGGCTCTTTCCTGGTGCGGGAAAGTGAGACCTTTGTAGGAGATTACACTCTTTCCTTTTGGTATGATCAGTATTTTTTGTTTTTTTACACTAAATTTATGAAATGACAGTATAATTGTACAATGTGCATTTTTGCCATTCATATCCGTCCCTTCCCCAGTACAATTCACATGTCACTGCCACGGTCATATGTATGAGAACCCACACATACGAGGCTTATTTTAAAGTAACTGTCAAATAATGGGGAGAACATACCGCCCTTTATGCAGTAAGTGCAAATCTAAACCCTTGCTGCATGTTTATTTAGGAATTAAAGCGTTACTAATCCCACAATAGAAAAATAAGTCCGTAAATGCAGTAAAGCATGCTTGTTATACCCACTGTAGAACCCAAGGGGTTAATCCCTTTGTGTAAAAAGGGTGTTTGATCCTGTCTTCTTCTGTTCCTCCCCTTTTTCTACTGTCCCCAATCCATCTGCTGAGAGTACAGACCTCTAGGAGTCACTCTGCGCATACTCAACTTAGTGTTAATTGCTAGAGAGGTTTCTTTTTTTGGGGGGAAGGGTGCATGTGATTAGTACAGGGCCAATCAGCACTGTCCAAACAGGGTCAGGGGTCATGCAACCTCATAGGACAATCAGGGAGAATGAAAACTCCTACAGCTTTAACCAGTGCTCAGCTGGACACTGATAGAAGTCACAAGACTGCTAAATACTGCTGATGAGAAAAGGTATTTTATATTTACTAAAATAATTGCCTTTCCATGGTCTGTGTACTATGGGAGATCAGATATATTGAATTCAGGGTCCGGGGTTTAGTAACACTTTAAGGTAGATGTAAACACCTTACCGAATCATATTTAGTTTTCAAGAGCACCATCTGTTGTAACAGTTACCTTCAATTTTAAATACTTGTTTCACCATCTTGTTATGGTTTGTTGCATCAGTGGTGCTGATCACCTGCTGTCTCTTTGTAGCAGCATTCAGAATTCGCTACATGATATTTCCTGGGGCGAGGGGGTTTCTGATGGTGACAACAAAGGATAATGCCTGGCTAATGTGTTTTTAAACTGTTAGTTGAAGTCTCCTTTGAAAGCCCATGTGATAGAATGACAACACAGGAGTATAGTTGGCAGACAGATACAGAGTTGTCACCTTCTAATAGCAAGTGCTCAGAAAAGGACCTTCATGGCAGTATCACTAGGTATTTTAATCAAAGCTGGGGGTTTAAAAATACTAAACAATAGATTTGAAATTACATGATAATGTCAAAAAACCTATACAATATTTAGTGATTAGATTTACATACATTTTTAGATTTTCTATTGCATTATTTGCTTATAAAACCCTAAGAGGCCCTTTGACCTACCTTTACAATAACATGGAGGGATCCCTGTACCTCTTCAGTGCTACAAAACCTGACTTGTCCATTCTGTATAATGATGTTCAATGGGGAACATATTTCTGATTTAATATATTCTGTCCATAAAGAAATGTGACCAATAACAGAAATAGGGTCCCATTGTTGCTTACTAGCTGAGGCATGGACACACGTGTGTTACTGCCAGGGTGGATTTGATTTAAATCAAACTGATTTAAATCACGATTTAAATCACTAGTCAGTAAGGCTTGATTTAAATCCTAGTTTTCTACATAAAGACTAATTCTTGCTGGTATAACTTTAATATGCTAGATTGTAAGCTCGTAAGAGTAGGGCCCTCTTACCCCTCGTACATTGTTTGTTGTTGTTGTACTGTGCCATGTATTGTCCCCCCTATTGTACAGCGCTGAGCAAACCCTTTGGCGCTATATAAACTCGTAGTAATAATAATAATAATAATATGCAAGTAGATGAAGATTTTTAGAATAACAACTTTTCATATTAGTTTTTTTATCCCCAGTTTAATAGGTTAATCATTCATATTTGGACAACTTTTCTGTTGTACTTAGGAAGGAGAAAAATAATCATTACCTTAATAATAACAATTTAAATAGATTTATTCATCTGAAACAATAACATTCCAGCATATGTGATTTGCTTGAACATCCATGTTTGGTAACTACCGTATTTTTCGCACCATAAGACGCACTTTTTTCCCCCCCAAAAAGGGGGGAAAATGTCAGTGCGTCTTATGGAGCGAATGTAAAGCGGCCGGTCCGGTATTTCTGCCGCCACCATGTCAGAAATACCGGGCCGGTTTCCGCTCAGCTGTTCTCTCCTGCAGGGCCTTACCTGTTCCTCGCTCCAGCGCTGCACAGTCTTCCCGCGCTGGCTTCTGTGACAGCCGGGTGCCCACTGCGCATGTGCTGCGCTTTGTGAATGATCCGGTGTCTTCTGGGACACATGAAAGGTCACAGAAGGCGCCGGGCCATTCACAAAGCGAAGCGCTTCTTGCACCTGCGCAGTGGGCACCCGGCTGTCACAGAAGCCGGCCCGGGAAGAAGAGGGAAGGCAACTCCGCGGAAGTGGGAGCGGGTACCTGTCAAATTCAGGTACCCGCTCCCCCTCCCTCCCCAAAGGTCAGCAGTCTCTGGTCATCCCCTTCACTGTCTGCAGTCTCTGGTCATTCCCTGCACTGTCCGCAGTCTCTGGTCATTCCCTGCACTGTCTGCAGTCTCTGGTCATTCCCTGCACTGTCCGCAGTCTCTGGTCATCCCCTGTACTGTCCGCAGTCTCTGGTCATCTCCTGTACTGTCTGCAGTCTCTGGTCATTCCCTGTACTGTGTCCGCAGTCTCTGGTCATCCCCTGTACTGTCTGCAGTCTCTGGTCATTCCCTGTACTGTCCGCAGTCTCTGGTCATTCCTGCACTGTCCGCAGTCTCTGGTCATTCCCTGCACTGTCCGCAGTCTCTGGTCATTCCTGCACTGTGTCCGCAGTCTCTGGTCATCTCCTGCACTGTGTTCCGCAGTCTCTGGTCATCTCCTGCACTGTGTCCGCAGTCCCTGGTCATCTCCTGTACTGTGTCCGCAGTCTCTGGTCATCTCCTGTACTGTTTCTGCAGTCTCTGGTCATCTCCTGTACTATGGTCCGCAGTCTCTTGGTCATCCCCTGTACTTTTCCGCAGTCTCTGGTCATCTCCTGTACTATGTCTGCAGTCTCTGGTCATCTCCTGTACTGTGTCCGCAGTCTCTGGTCATCCCCTGTACTATGTCTGCAGTCCATTGGTTCAGAATATTTTTTTTTTCTTGTTTTTCACCTCTAAAACCTAGGTGCGTCTTATGGTCAGGTGCGTCTTATGGAGCGAAAAAATACGGTAATTTGGCTAAACAAAATATATATATTTGAAGAAACTTAGACTGTCAGCCCCTTCCTCCTCACACTTAGTTTCACTTTCTTCTTGTGCAGATCTATTCCACTCCAAACAATCAGAAAAATATTGTTTCTATTCTATTCACTGAACTTCTTGAAACTTAGCAGTGAAGGGGTTGATTCTGTATTCATAGGTTTGTAGAAGTTAGGATGAAGGTCTTTTTCTTAACTCTGTTCATGTTATAACATTTTTGCTGTGAAGAAGAGGCATGTGATCTCCGCTGAGTCAAATTCAGTTTTGAGAACTGCAAAAGTAAACCAAGCATCTGTGATAATATCTTGTAGGCAGAGAAACTGCCCAATAATCTTACAAAAACCTCTGGAAGAGCATGACATTGTGAATGGATTCATGGAATTTATTTACCAAAAAAATTAAACCTATACAGCCTTATTCTACATAATTAAAAAACTAATCTTTATTTCATGAATGGAATAACCTTTGGATGGTAATATATTTTCCTCAAAAAGCATTTTATTTAAAAAAAAATCCGATTTAAATTAAAAAAAAATTGATTTAAATCAAAAAAATCTTTTTTTTTTTTTTTTTTTTTTTTTTTTTTTAAATCATTGATTGTTATCCACCCTGGTTACTGCACAGAGGGGTTCAGTGTATGAGGGGGATCTTCAGATTTACTGGATAATTTATTTAAATGCTGCATTCTCTGACTTTGTTCTCTATTTTTTGGTCTTCTAGGAGGAATGGAAAGGTCCAGCACTGTCGGATACACTCCAGACAGGAGGCTGGGAGCCCCAAGTTCTTCCTTACAGATAACCTAGTATTTGAGAGCCTCTATGCACTTATCACCCACTACCAGCAGATGCCACTGCGATGTAATGAGTTTGAGATGAGGTTGACTGAGCCTGTTCCACAAACCAATGCACATGAGAGCAAAGAGTAAGTTCTGGTCAACATGCACAAATTGAAAATGGCCTTTTTTCAGGCTCTGTAGAAGGAAATGGGCATCTCTGGTCATGTGTTTGCTTCTTTACATCAACTCTAGAGTCATAGAATCTGTTTTGTGCATGTATTATAGGTTTGCCATATCTTGTTGGGGTCTGTGCATGTTTGAAAAGTCCTACCTGCCAGAAGATAACGCATCAACCGTTTTAGATTCCAATCTTGAAGGCTGGAGACCGCGGGTGTTGAAACAGTATATCCTGTTCAATTGAATTTTTAACTTTATTATTTTATAAGGCATTTGTCTAACTCTGCAGATGGTACCATGCCAACCTTACACGAGCCCAAGCAGAACATATGCTGATGAGGGTACCACGGGATGGAGCTTTCCTGGTACGCAAGAGAAGTGAACCCAACTCATATGCCATATCATTCAGGTGAGACCCTACACTGTTCCTCCCTCGCTTCCATCCGGTTTGTTTGGACAGTTGGAGCAGTCTTTGTATTGGTGCTCAGTGCTTTATTCTCTATTTTACTTTGAAAAGTTTTTCTGTCTCCATATTCACTTTGCTTTCTCATTCTGCCTACCCTTTTCTTTTACTTAGAGCGGAGGGGAAGATTAAGCATTGCCGAGTACAACAAGAAGGTCAGAGTGTTGTGCTTGGTAGCTCAGAGTTTGACAGCCTTGTGGATCTGATTAGTTATTATGAGAAGCATCCTTTATACCGTAAGATGAAGCTCAGGTATCCCATCAACGAGGAGACCCTGGATAAGATAGGTACAGCTGTAAGTAATGAATCTGGATGAGTCCAGATTTTTATATTATTATTGTTATTTATAATTATCATTATTATTTATTAGTTTTCATTATTGCTACGATTATTTTTTTTCCCCAATCACATCACATGCTCTTGTTATAGGAGCCGGATTATGGAGCGCTCTATGAGGGGAGGAGTCCTGGTTTCTATGTGGAACCCAATCCCATGCCTGCTATCAAGGTTAATAGCTGCCTTCCGTGTTGGCCAAAGGACATACCTTGTCTGTAGCTGTCTGCCTCTCCTCTCATTATTGATCCTTTGTCTTTTCCTTTCCATCCATTTTCCCTCCCGAATCTCACTCCTCCTGTGTCTCCCCAGTGCTCTGTCAAGGCCCTGTTTGATTATAAAGCTCAGCGCGAGGATGAACTCACGTTCACCAAGAACGCCGTTATCCAAAATGTGGAGAAGCAGGAAGGCGGATGGTAAGCATGAGACAACCGCTAGGAAATCCATTTTTTTTATCCGTTTTTCTCAGATCTGCCTCGTCTTATTGCAACATCTTAAAGTAGACCTAAACCCTAACTGGATTATAATTTGCCTACACTTGCCATGTATTCTTCTTTTTAAATTATTATAGTACAGGGTTTATATACAACTGAACAATTGCATAGCGCTTTACAAAATGGAGGCAGACAGCACAGTTACAGTACAATTCAATTCAAGAAAATCAGATGGCCTTGCTCCTAGAGCCGACAGTCCAAAAGGGAGGATCAAGTTATACAAAAGGTTATTACTGTAGGGGATGAGCTGATGGAGAAAAAATACACTTTATTAGTAAGCGTGGGATAGGGCCTCTCTTAACCCTTTGAGGACCAAGGGACGTATTTGTCCCATGTTTTTAATTGCCTGTATCATCTGATTAAGAACTTAAAATACTTTTTTTTTTTTTTTTTTGGTTTGAGTCAAAATATTAGTTCTTATCAACAAATGGATCTAGCTTCTTGCTAATTATTTCATGAAATGGCTTAGTTACAGCAACTGAAGTGTATGAACTTTAAAAACAAAAAATTGATTCTTTTGGCGTTCCATAATCTTATGGTCCTCAAAGGGTTAAGAGATGGGTTTTCAGGGAATGCCATAAAGCGGTTAGAGTAGGAGATGGACACATTGGGGTAAGGAGCTCCAGAGGATGGGAAAGGCTCTGTAGAAGTCCTGGAGGCAAGCATAGGAGGAGAAGACAAGGAAGCTTAGGGGGCAGGAGGTCTTGGGAGGAGCAAAGAGAATGGCTTAGTTGGTATTTTAAGAGATGAGATTGGTGATGTAGCTAGGATGGCAGAATAGGATACAATCTCCTGCAACTCCTTTTAGTCACTTCCTGTCTATGTGCATTTGCTGCAGCATCAGCTATTGCTAAGAACAGGCTTCTTCATGTTGGCAATGGTGGAACATACTTATACAATGTGTGTAGGCATGGCATTGCAGTCTCCATCAGAGGTGCATGTAGCAGGAAGACAATGCACTGGAAGACAGGTGTCACCACCTAACAGGAAGTGCCTGAACAAGAACCTTCATGTCAGGATCACTAGGTATTATTTTAAGGATTGCTGCAGATAGGATTTAGTGAAAAGGTTTAGATCTACTTTAAGAGCTTGTGTACAGGAGATATTGTTTGTATCAGAACTTTCCTTTCCATTTAAGTCATTGGGAATGAAAAAGCAACTTGAAGCAGCTTAGGAGGAGATAAAATGCAGGTCAGAAGTGCCAGTGAAGGAACTCAGAGCCATCTCAAATGCAAGCTGAATCCACCTGAAAGCATGCTGTGTTTTCCAGTCTACTCAAGCACTAAATTCAGTATTGCATAAGGTTAATATGGAGCCTGCCATTGTGTACCTCCTGATTAGTTGTCTGATAACATCTGCTGGCCCACTGCCTTCAATATCTTGAGTCACTGACCTGGAACAAGTATGTAGAGTGGGAATATCAGAGGTCATGATCTGCATACCTGGGTCAATGACAAATATCAAAGCAAGAGGGGTCCGTAGGACAGGCAGTTAGTATTTTCAGAATAATCTGACAGAATTATTTTTCATATGACAGTTATTCCTTAGTAAGATAAAGAAAGGGTTGCACATAATCTGAATCGACGATAAAAATGTGTTAAATTGTTTAGTAAGGATCACCTCATATATGTGAATACATTAAACTTGCATAGGAAGAGACACAAGTTATGGATAAGCGTGCTATATGGGTCGTGTGCAGTGTTGTAGTATTTTGTATTTTTTCATTTTTATGCCTGGATGAAGTTGTCGTCTAACAAGTTAATAATCGGATTGTGAGTAGCTGTTTCTTTCTTTTCATAAACAAAGGTATGTTCACTGAGGGCTTGTTTATGCAAGTGTTGCCCTCTTAAGAGTGATTGGCAATTGATCGCTATTCAGAGGGCATTTGACAGGCAGTGAAGAAGTGATATTTTGCCTGCTCATCACCTGCTTTAACCCCTAAAGTTGTCATGCTGCAATTGCATGCATTGGTGTGGGCTTTTAGAGGTTAAAGCAGGCGATGAAGATGTAGGCCTGAAGATGTACAACACTTGAGACTGCAGACTTCTTCCCAGAAAAGACTAGGTGGAATTTCTGGTTCCCTTTATAGGTGATTATTCAAGGAAAGGTGTGCACAGCAGAGACCTCAGCTGCAGTGCTAAGTAACAACCGGCAATGGGAGAAGGTTCAAAGCTGATTCTTACACTCGGGGAATGCAAAATCGCTCTGACCCAATCAGGGGTGGACTGACAACTCATGGGGCCCCCGGGCAATAGGGGATCATGGGGCCCCTGTGTCCTTTCCCAAACTCAAAAAAGCCTATGAAAAAGGTACCAGGGGCATCTCATGGGTCTCCCTACTGACCCCGGGCCCTCGTGCAGTGCCCGAGTTTCCAAATGGTCAGTCCGCCCCTGGACCCAAATTTTTCTGGTGGTAGCTCCCTTAAGAACTACTTTCAGTGCCTAATTCAGGCAAGCATTTGCACCAGTGTCGGTAACATGGTGACACATGCGGCAAATTCAGGTAGTTCTTAGTACTTCCACTTTAACAATCTATTGCTGTGGCAGCAACAAAAAAAAAAAAAAAAATAGAATTCCCACCAATTTTCTGCTTAGGAAACAAACAGTAATTAAGGCCAACTCTGCTGTACAGAAGTAAGCTGGTACTCTGGGCATGCTGTGCCTAAGCTGTGATAGCATCCTGCACAGCGCTGCATCCCCTGCCTCATTTAGCTGTCCGCTTGGAGATTCCCTGGCCTTAAGCTAAAGGAAACAGAAGATGCAGCTGATGTCATTACATTGGCAATGTCCAAAAAATGACTTGTTGTGGGTGGGTGAATCTAATGGGGATATGAGGAGAATGACAGGCGCATAGTTTAGCAGTACATGTATGTTGTAATAAGTTCCAAGTGGGCAGGGATAGTCGTGTAGACACTAAGGGCAAGCTGCGATGGAGCAAAGCGTAACTCTGCAGCTGAAGAAACAAAGAAACACAGTGCTTCTGAGCGTATACTGCGATAATATTTAATAAAAATAAGTAGTAATTCACATCTGAGAATATAAAACCGGCTCATAAGGTGGAGAGGTGAAATGTCTGCAGCCACATGTTAGGTGACTGATTCAGAAAGGAGATAGCCTCGGTCCGCCAGCAGATGGTGCTGTGTGTGAAGCCTGGCAGTCTCTCCAAGATGTCTGGGGTCGGTCATGTTCGGCGCCTGATGTCATCGAGGTGCGATGCGTTTCTGAGCATGCGCAGGACAAGCGTTGCTCGGCGCGCGCTCTTTCATCAGGCAGTTGCCAAGTTGCCTGATGAAAGAGCGTGCCGGACGCTCGTCCCACGCATGCTCAGAAACGCGTCACACTTTGATGACATCAGACGCCGAACATGACCGACCCCGGACACCTTGGAGACTCTACCAGGCTTCACACACAGCACCATTTGCTGGCGGACCTAGGCTATCTCCTTTCTGAATCCGTCACCTAACATCTGGCTGCAGACGTTTCACCTCTCCACCTTATGAGCCTGTTTTATATTCTAAAATGTGAGTTACTACTTATCCTTTCATTAAATATTATCGCAGTATACGCTCAGAGGCGCTGTGTTTCTTTGTTTGTTGAATCTGATGGGGAACTGGGAGATAAGTTCCCTATCAGGTCCACCCCACTTTTGAGTGACAGTGCACGGCAGTTGGCGGATTTGAAATTTGGATAGAATAGCGGCAATGGATCCGCCCACTTCCGTGCGCTGTAAATCAAAAGTGGAGAGGACCGGATGGGGAACTAATCCGCCCACCCCTAGTATAAAAATCCTCGGCCATAAACTTGTCAGTGTCATGGGTGCAGCGGCCAGGGAGGGAGAGTGGGAGTGCACTGGGAAAGAAGTGTGCACACTACTTCCCCAGTGCAGACACGGACATATTCATGTACCTGTCGGTGACAGTCACACATATCGGGCGCAGGCACAGATACTTTTGTTGCTGCACTCCGATGGATTTCTACAGGATGTCTGAGACACCTTTTATAAATTTGCCCGACTGTGTCTGTAGCAGTAGCGGTATAGAATAAAATGGTATGTTTCATGCAGAGAGAAGGGAAGAATTTTCATAGATGGAATTGCTTAAGTAAATAATGTAATCTTGTGTCATGGGCGCACCCTGTATTAATTAAATGTTTTCACGAATTTATAGAATAAAGATATTAAATGTGTTTTCTACATATGTGTGTGTGATACATTTATATATAAACACTGTATATACATAACATACACATCTAATAATGAGTTTAGGCACACCCTCTACTGGCATCCTTACAACCAATGACGTCATTGGTTGGTAAGGAGGATGACGGGTGATTGCACGAAACAATCTTTCGTTCAACTTGTATATAAGCAGCCCGTCGGAGTTTCTCGCGAAACGATCAGTGCCACCGGCCATAGCCAGCAACACCAGTCATTGTATTCTGATGGCGGGGAAACTCCCCGCAGGCAGAATAAAATAGCACAGCAAATGTGTGGATGGGGAAATTGGACTTTTTTTTTTTCCTTTTTTTCTTTTTTTTCTCATTCAACCTGCTGGTAGAACGAGAAACATGAATTGTGTATGGCCAGCCTAAATTTTGGTTGTGCAACATAAAGTAAATCCTTTCCACACCTCGATTACATTATTTCAAGCAGCTGATGCCATTGGCAAAGCCTACTTATCCGTATGTATCAAATCTTTAAGAGAAGACGGGACCCTGAACAATCTTAGCTTTACATTTCCATTCAGAGAAGCATGTCTTTTATTCAACACCTCTTTTAAAATGCACATTTTGGGCCTGCAAATTACTTTAAACCCCAAAATATTTTTTATATTTTCTGAAAGCAGGGAGGTTGCTGAATAAAGAGATGTTAATTGCACATTTTTATATTGCACAATGTATGTGTACCTGTTTTTGAAACACAAT